CTTGCTGACCCTTGAAGAAACCATGTGTTTATGTACATCTCTTGTATATACAATTCCTTTTACTTAAAATGTATTTTTATTCTTTGTCCTCTTAACAAAAGTCTCAAGACTTAATTTCACATCATGTCGTGGAGAACTCTGATTTTTTTCTTGGGAAGGATTAAGCACATATCTGCACTCCCATAATGTCTTGTTTATGTGCCTGTAAGCACTCATTATGCTGAGTATAATTACAGTTATACTACATTGCAGTGTAATTGTTTATTTAAATATCTCTCTCATCAGAATGGATGCTCCTAGAAGATGTCAACCATCATAATTGTAACCTTAGAGTATAAAAGAAAATAAGAGTGCCTGTTCTGTCAGCTTGCTTAGCATCCTGTGTAACTTTGGGCAAGTTGTGTGACCTTTGTATGTCTGTCTTGATAGATAACTTATAAATTTATAAAAGGATTAAGTGAGGTAATATATAAAAAGGGCTCTGCCTAGTGTCTGGTGCTCTGAAAAATAGTAATGTTAATAGCATCCTATTGCTGTTGTTATTATTGTAAATATTTTAAAAACCTTTGTTCCTGTTGCTTACAAAATAGTATTATTATTTATTCCATACCTGGATGTAAAAAGTGCTTACCAAAATGTGTAAATATATTAAAGTAAATGTAAACAAGTAAGCTAAAGAATCAGAACAAAGGGAGAATAAAGGTAAGAAAAGTTAAATCAAGTTAGCTTGAAGTTAGAACAATCAGACAATTAAAATTTACCCTCAGAATCATTCACTTTGAACCAGTAATTTCTTTGTCCAATCTTAAAAGATAAAAGTAGTTACAAAATTTATGTGAAAGTCACTGGATGAGTCACTTTACTATATAGAATGAGTAGCTAGAAGCCAATCAAATGAGATGGAGAATGTCTGCCTAGAAATGATGAATCTGATTTTGGAATTAATCACTTGTAGGCCTGTTTGATAGTAGTTAGCAAGGCCATTTGTTTAGCCCAAAACAATCTCCAGGACATGGGAAGAAAATACTATTATCTTACCCTTTTAAGTTTCTGGGGATTTTGTGTATATTTTGTAATGAATACAAAATATTTTGCCAGCAACACATGTATTAATTTTTAAATACATTATGTATGTTATAAATGTAACTCATTTTTATCCCCAGTGCTATGTGTGATTTTTAAAAGTTGTGAGGCCAAATGGAGTGGCTCATACCTAATTCTAGCACTTTGAGATGCCAAGATGGAAGAATCACCTGAAGCCAGGAGTTTGAAACCAAGCTGTGCAACAAAGCAAGACCCTGTCTCTACAAGAAAAGATAAAAAAAAAGTAAAAAGAAAAATTAAGAATCTTGAGAGTATATGGTATATAAATCCTTTTCTTATTTAGTTCCAGTTTACCTTTTCAGCTTTCTGCCCCATTATGTTTGGAGGTCCCTACTTTTGGTCCTGTTCTCTTTACCTGTAAGGCTCTTAATGGCTTCTTTACCTAATATAATTCTATCCTTTGATGAGTCACTTTGAATCTTGCCACTTGCTCCTTTTATCCAGGATGGGCTTCTATCATGTTCTTCTGACAAAGTCGTTCAGCTCCCGAGAGTCCATTCATCCATGACCTCTTTAGAGAAGCCTTTTCTGACATTTCCTGTTCATAGAGTGTACTTCTCTTCGTTGGTCCCGTAGGATAGTACTTGCATGAAGTGTGCCCATATTATTCTGCACTATTCTGAGATAACAAAAAATGGAATTAACAGTTTATTTAAGAATGTTTTAAATGCCTGTATTTTTTGTATAATGTTCGTTGTTTCATTTTGAATAGCATGTAACAATAAACATTTTGAAATGTATTGAATTGAATTTTTTTGAGACGGAGTCTCACACTGTCACCCAGGCTGGAGTGCAATGGCGCGATCTTGGCCTCCCAAAGTGCTGGAATTACAGGCATGAACCACCACACCTGGCCTGTGAGTTGAATTTTTAATATTGGTACATATGTAGAGTTAAATGGTAAAATTAAACCAGGACCAATAAACATGAAACATCTTGGTTTCACCAAGTGTGCCTTTCTTTGACTTGATTTCTCTAGAATATCAGATCTCATTTGTGCTCATTTTTATAGAAATATGATTGAGCCAAATATGAATCTGGACATGTTTCAAAGGTTTAAAAAACTTTATTGGTGTTTGCGTACTTTAGGTAAGAAATTATAGTCCTTCTCCTTGATTTCTCCTTCCTTTTGCTACTGTTTATTTTTTTTGTTGCTGTTTTTGAGACAGGGTTTCACTCTGTTGCTCAAGCTGTGAAGTGCAGTTATGTGATCATAGTTCACCGTAAGCTCAAACTCCTGGGCCCGAATGACCTGCCTTAGCCTCCTGAGTAGCTAGAACTACAGGCATGTGCCACCACACTCAACTAAGTATTTTTATTTTTTGTAGAGACAGTGTCTTGCTATGTTTCCCAGGCTAGTCTCAAACTCCTGGGCTCACGTAGTCTAATCACTGCAGCCTCCCAAAACACTGGGATCATAGACAAAATGAGCTTCTGCACCCAGCCAGCTGCTGTATTTTTAAATAACCAACAGTGTGTCTGTATGAGTGTTGGTTATATGTTTGTTGTCTTATTAACTAGATCTCAAGTTCCTTAGTAGACTACATCATAATTTTTTTAATTTCTTGTTCTTTGTGTTGTTTAGGGAATTTTTATATTCTCAGGGACAGAATAAGGTGCTAGTCTTCCTCTCTTTCTTCAGCGTAGCGTCTGCACAGACATGGAGCCAGCCAGCCCTTCCTAAAAGAACATTTGCAAAGAAGGATTTCCACGGCAGCATTATGGATTGGGGTTTTTAATTTGAAGGGTTTCCCTTCGCTGAGTCTTCTTTATGTATTTTCTTTCCATCTAGTCTTTTGTTCTGGGTTTGTATAGTGGGTAGAAGGATGATATGACACACTAGAATCTACTTTTTCATTTTAGGCTCACACATTACTAATGTAGCAGGCAATTCTTTCTCATTGCTATTCCTGTGATTATATCATGTTCTCCATTCTCTTTCAGTGCTCCATGTTTTGTTTAGATTCAGAGTATGTTTAGAGAGTTAATGTACATTTGTCAATGCAGCTCAATAAAAGGTGATGATTAGGACACCACATCACTTACCACCTTTGTGGTGATATACTGAAAAATGGCTGGATGCTTTTACTTGACCATGGCTGTGACCTCTTAAGGTATTATTGCAAGTGTGTTTTGCTTTTATGGAGTGTGTGTGTGTTTGTGTGTGTGTGTCTTATTCATCAAGCCATTCCTATAGTAAGAAATAGGTCCATGCCCCCACCTCCTCATGAGAAACTAGAGGACTTTGGTACAAACATGTGATTGCTGAGGTCTCTTCATGGAGCACCAGTAAGCAAGAAGTTTAAACATTTATTCAAGTCAAACTAAAGGAGGTGTAAGCACTATTGTTGCATCAGTCATCAGGAGAATTTAGAATTTGAGCTGTTTAAGTGAAAGTCAGTGTTTGATGAAGAAACTTGTTAACATTGTGAACTTTATTTTGTATTTGTGGGCTTGATAAATCCTGATTGTTTTTAATATGGTATTTCATAAGTAATTTCAGAATGAAATAATGAATGAACAGACTTTTGTTACTTCTAAACTCAGGAAGTTTGCAAATGGGATCTTTGATAATCCTATTTGTATATAAGACAGTGAGTGCTGATCACACTACTACTGAGAAATTTGAAGCCCCACCTCTAAGAATCTTCAGCTTTTCAATATTGCTTCCCTTCTCCCTTTATTTACAACCCACAATACTCTGAACAGGTGTATATTCTTTGTGGTTCTTTCTACCATAAAAACAAAAGAGGACTTTGTTTTTGTTCACGAGTATCTAATATCCTTTAGGAGAATTCTCCTCATTTATCTTCCAGGAAGTAATACGGAATTCTTGATAGGTTTTTGTACCTAGTTAGAAGGTATTGAGTCCACAAATAGAGAAAAAGCATAGAAGTGATACAACTAAAACTAGGACAAAAGCCAAGTTAGAGCAGTTTTTTTTTTAAATTTTGTGAAGAAATGCTTATTGTAGAAATGTAAAATATATAGAAGAGTATGAAGAAGGAAACGAATTTGCTATCATCCTTAAAACTGGAGATAGCTACTGTCACTTACATTTTTTTTAGTGTACCATGGTCCCTAAGTATCCATGAGGGCTTGGTTTCAGGACCCTCTGCAGATACTAAAATCTGAGGATGTTTGCGTCCCTTTTATAAAATGCTGTAGTATTTTTGTGTAATCTATGCACATCCTTACATATGTAGTCATGTGTTGCGTAATGACAGACCACATAAATGACATCAGATTTTCCTACCTGTTTTTGCTGTACATTTTCTGTGTTTAGATACACAAATACTTAACATTGTGTTACAGTTGCCTGCAGTATTCAGTAGAGTAACATGCTGAGCAGGTTCATAGCCTGGGAACCATAGGCTATACCATGTAGCCTTAGTGTATAGTAGGCTGTACTGTCTAGGTTTGTGTAGCTACACTCTGTGATGTTTGCCCAAGGATGAAATTGCCTAATGACACATTTCTCAGAATGTACCCCAGTTGTTAAGCAATGCATGACTGTATTTTGAATCATTTCTAGATTACTTATAATACCTAATACAGTGTAAATGTGGTGTAAATAGTTGCTATACTGAAATTTGTAATTTTTTTTTATTGTTGTAGTGGGATTTTTGTTTCTGGTTTTTTGGGTTTTATTTGAGACAGGGTCTCGCTGTCAGCCAGGCTAGAATGCAGCGGAACGATCACAGTTCATTGCAGTGTTTACCTCCCAACTTAAGGGATCCCCTCATCTCAGCCTCCTGAGTAGCTGGGATTACAGGTACATGCCTCTAAGCCCAGCTAACTTTGTTTTTTTTTTTGTAGAGACAGGGTTTCATCATGTTTTCCAGGTTGGTATTGAACTTCTGGGCTCAAGCAATAGCCTGCCTCGGCCTCCCAAACTGTTGGGATTATAGAAGTAATCACCACCACCCCCAACCTCTACTATTATTTTTAATGGAATTTTCCCAAAATATTTTCGGTCTACAGTTTTTTGAATCTGCAGGTACAGAACCCATGGACACAGAGGCCTGACTATATATCTTTTTATTAATTTAAATATTTTAATTAATTTAGGTGATGCTGAATGTTTAGTTATGTATGCTTGTGTTTGTGTTTCTCATGCAGTTAAACTTTTTCCAAAACATTATTTTCAATATTAATGTAATACTTTAAGAGTGTAATGAAGTATTCTCACATAGCTTCCAATTTTTCTGCTATTACAAACAACTTTTAGGGAAAAATCTGTACATGACTCTGATTATTTCCTTAGGATAGAGTTACAGAAATTACTGTGTTAAAGGTATGAAAATTATTTTAAGTTTCTACATAAATATTGGTAACTTGTAAATAGGCATTTAAAAATTGTCTTTATTATTCACTATGTATAAAATTCTTGAGTACTGAGAGGAGGAGAGCAGGGCATGCCCCTCTGGTTGTCTGGGGCAGTTCTTCCTCCCTTAATGGTGTGACACTAACTCAGACAGATTTGCCCAGGGAACCAGAATTAGAAAGACTTTTTATCATACTTGAAATATTTTATGGAGTAATTGCTAAAGAAGGCTCTTTTGATAATTGTTTAAAGCAACTCAGATATTAATGTATACCAGTGGTCTAAGACAATGATTATGACGGTGTTCCAGTTGGAAGGGGAATAACAATTACTCAGACGTAGCAAACAAATTAATGCTGACTGTTGTTTAGTTTGATTTGGTATGTGTTTAGTAACTGTGCTATGTTGTGTATGTGGCTTTAACAGTGCTAGAAAATGTAGTATTTAAAAGTAGAGAAGGGTTGTAATGGTTATCTTTATGAACAAGGGATACAAAGGAACCCAGTAATTCAAAGATGGTTTTAAATGAGAGTTCATTTTTTGTCATTTATATGTGTTGCTCTGTTTTTGAAGAAAATTAATATGCTGTTTTGAAACTTTAGGTTTGCATATACTTGAGTAACTGTATACAAAGTGTATTCTTTTGTGCAGGTGTGAAGATTCTTGATACACAGCCTAGAGGGAAAGCAGAAGCATAGTGGTGCCTTTTATTGTTCTTTCAATTTCACTGATTCTAATTATAGAAGCTTACATCACCTTGGTTGATGATGACAGTTTCTCTCTCCTTCTTGGTTTTTCTTCCTCTATTACTCCCTAAGGATGGATCATATTTCATAGTGCATGTGTGTCCAGCTGGTGGCTGTGACAGATTTTCAACAAAAATGGGGGTGATCAGTTAGTGGATATATATATGACATATGCTGAAGCACACTGTTTCTTACAAGAGAATAAAAGAATGCTGGTACTCTTGCCTCGCCTCCTTCATGAAGGCTGAGGAATAGGTATGCAGTTTGAAAGCAGAAGTCCTGAGGGGCACCAGTAATTAGAGTTAACTGTCTGATAACTGCAAAGATGCGTTTCAGATGTTCATGTTAAACATGGAGGGAAAGGGGTGGAAAAGATTGTTATGATCCTTTGAAAGGGCTTGTATGTTACCTATGACCATTGCAGTCATTTATTCATTTATTTTCCAAAAGACTTAAAAGTGTTTTCACTCTGTAAATCAGTACAATTTAAGTTTATATTTCAAAAACCAAATACAACTAAAATGCAGAAATGAGTGTACTCTTTATTTTGTAAAACTGCAGAATTTTTCTTTTGTTCTTTAACTTCTTTGGAGTTTGACTTCTCTAAATTATGATTATAATATTTCACTGCAGATTGGGAATAAATTCTATTAATGTAATAAGTAAATAAAATGCCTGGGTTAGTATAAATCCAGTTTTTGTTATCATTAGTTTTGTTTGTTTTTCATAATGCCTAGAATGTATATCCTCTTATGGCTTACCTTCATCTGTGGTAACCTTTCCCTGTCCTTCTTTTCAGTGTTGTCACATATTGACATAAAAGATATGTTTACGGCTAGTTTAGTAACTATCAGAACCTTATCTTTGGCTTTCTAAACAATATGATTTCAAGTATTTCAGTTTGTATTTTTGTTTATAAATAATATGCACAGTTAACATAAATTTTAATAACTACATGGCATTTACACTTTTATAAAAGTATTTCATCATGATTTGAATCTTTGGAAAGTCAACATACATTGCTCTATTTTATAGTAGTGCAAAAGACCTTTCTGAAGCTAAAGATTTCATTAATAGGGGTTAGCATCATGACATTTCATATGCAGGGGAAATGTGTTCATAAGTGGCTGTCTTGTAGTGATTCCTAGACAATATGTAGATCAGGACATTCTCCTTTGCTGCATTTAATTCATTTGAATTGATAAGATAATGAGATGAGATCGTGATAAAATTCTAAAAGTGATGCAAGTGAAAAATAGGTTATTTACCTAGTCATTTATTTTAGTTATTTGATAAATTACTATTCTCTTCAAAGGATGTTTATTTCTTCATTCAGTAGTTAAAAGGCAAAGTCATTATTTCATCAGAATGCTGGTGGATCCCCATGTTGAGTATGGAATTTGGCCTGTTTCTTTTCTTGGTATTGTTACACAGGGAGATTTCGCATGATAGGTTCACTATACAGTTCCCTGGAATCGAAGATACTATGAGATGATTGGTAAAGGATGATGTCATGTTCACTTACAAGTCAAACTAAAGGAAAAGAGAGTTTTGTTCCTTTACTGAGTTGGTGTTTACTACAGTAGGTCTAACATATGGCACTAGTGGATTACATTTCTCACTCTGGGCAGCAGTTTTTTAAAGCAGCTAAGAGATGGCTGTCTCCCTTGCCCAACTTGAGGTCCTTCTTTGTGTGTTGATCAGCATGATTTATAAAAAGGGGGAAAGGTGTGTATTAAAATTTTGCTTTTTGATTTGGCTATAATATATTCTGTTGGTACTATACATGAATATAATTACTGTCTGGTGTTGAAATTCCTAGTATTCTTGAATCTTGCTACTGATATTTATGTGTAAAATACTCATCTTTTAGAAATTTTATCTTTAGTGAGTTTGTCTTCATGTACATACAAAGTACCTACTATCATTTTTCTATTTTAAAGAATGATTAACTTAATATTACTTAATATTAAGTATCAAGTGGAATTCCAACTCACATATGGTTGATTTAAATTAAACTGAAAAAAAAAAAAAAAACCACACTGGTGCTTGAAAATCAATCTGTATAAATATTCCATGTTTTATGTTTAGAAAACTAGTCATGCTTGTTTGCATTTGTGAGATTTAATTTTATATTTAAATGCAGGTATTGTGTATTTTGGTATTGTGTCTTTGGAATTTTGGCAGAAAAACATTCTTTAAAACTTTATGAAAATCTAAATAATTACATATTTTGAAACCATAACTTGTCTTTGTTCAAAATTATACTTAGTTTAACTTAAATTCTAGTTTCATAAGTAGCAGCGTAATTCAGATTGGCAGCATAGTATTGTTCAGAAAGTGACTCAGACTTTTCTCAAAAATATTGAAGAACTTATTTTTTGTGTGCCTAACGACAAGATGTTTCTTCTGCAGTCAGTGGAGTCCTTTGTTAAAATACCTGTCTCCCAGGTAACATGTCCTGTTATGTTGCACATCCCGTTTTCCCCAAAATAAAAGTGTTTGGTGAATAAAGCAAAATAATTCTATTGCTTTGATTTGTTCACTGATTGGTTTTCTCATAATTTTGCTGCCTGGAGGTATAACTATATTTTACTCTTGGGAACTGTCTTACTTTGGCCATTAGGAGCAACCATCACAAGCTTAGTTGGAGTATCTAGTGCCTTGTAGCAGAAGCATGAAGAACAAGGATGGGTACTAGTAGTATTGTGTTTTCAGATGGAAGAGGGTGTGGCAAAATTAAAATCTTTTTCTGTAATTTCTATAGAAAAATGGGGCAATTTTTTTTAGTTCACACTGTGGAAGCAGGTTTAATCATTTTCTTTGATTTCTTCTGAGTTACTTTTGCTGGCTTCTTGTCTTTTTCTAGGAACTGAGCATTGGGCTACAGGAAAGTACCTTGTTGTGCAGATTATTCTTTCTCAAAGGAGTTGGTGCGTGCTCCAACTATTGGTGTACATGTGATTTTTTTCCAGCTTCCCTTTGCAAAATGAAATTCTATTGTTTCCATTTAAATTTACTATCTACCTACAAATCTTAGTACTAGTTTGTATATTCTTAATGTTAATTTAGAGTGATCCTGAAGTTTGTATCTTTCAGAACATTTCTTCGATAAATAGCAAATTTTGCAAGCAGAAACCCCTTGTTAACAAATACATGTGACATCTGAGAACCTAGGCTGCCTGCTTTATTTGGAATGCAATGGTATCTTATCAGAGCTTATAATTTTACCTTGGGAGGACAATACTGTATTACATTTGAATAATAATAGGAAATATGGCTTCCCAAATATAGCTGTGTATCAATGTACAGAATTAAAAATCAAAATGGATTTTTAAAACTGTGAAGTCGAAAGGGTGTTCAAGCCAATTTTTTTCTTAAAGAATTTAGCTTGCTGACGTGTCTCATGGAAGGGAGGATGGGGTGTGTGTGTGTGTGTGTGTGTGTGTGTATGTGTGTGTGTTCAATAAATTGCTCTTTGGGCTACATCTGCAGATACAGTAGCCAATTGATCTAATGCAGTTTCTGGAGGCTTTCTGTACAGGTGATGTCATCCTTTTAGCTCTATTCTCCTCCCACTCTCTTTCCTTCTTATTAGATATTTCATCTTACTGCAGAGCATAGAATCAATAGGAGCTTCTCCTTAGGGAGCTGCTTTGAAACAGGCAAGGACAGTAGGAATTAAGACAGTAACATTCAGTCTTGCTTTAGCAGAAGATATAGTGGTTTTGTACTGTATTATATAAAAATGTTTAACCAGAAAAGCCAGACTTACATCAAGAGTGCTGTTTTACTGATGCATTAGAATAAGAAGCAGTGCTGCAGAGCTGTAAACAGTGCATGTGAATAGAGAAAATAATTACAATTTTGGAGATTCTTAGGCATTCTACAGGACAAACCTGTTACAGCATATGTCATCTAACTGCCATTTGCTCAACGTTTTTTTTGTTGTTGGTGGTGGTGGTGGTGGTTTTTTTTTTTAACCTCTGGTGGTTAAGAATATAAAGAAGAAACTTTAATCTTCAGGATACAATGTTTGCTTTTGATGCAGAAGAATCACTGAGTGCTTGTTCTACAGAATGAAATAAGTTGAAGAAAAGACAAAGCTATATCACAGAGAGGAAAGGTTTCACGGAATCCAGGAACACAGATTTGGTGCATGTTGCCTGGTTTGCTTTGATTGATATTGTATTAACTGTTGTGCTACCACTCTGCGTGTCTGTGTCAGGTGCCTGAGGCCGCATGTATATGTTTGAATATTCTGAGCCAGAATTGTAAACATCTTCATTTACTGTGATTTGCTTGTTAAAGTCAACGTTTTAATTTAGAACAATACTTTACTGAAAGCTCCTGATTTCACTTTTAAAAGGGGTTTGGAGAGGCTGCCTTTATATAAACACTGCAGTGGTGTGTGATTTGTAAAAAGAAACTTAACAGAATTTTATCACCATACTCATCACTGTGGCTCTGGTTTGAAAAGGAAACTACCCTTTCCAGCCTAGGAAATGGCTTTTCTTGTTCGCTGTTATGCCAATTGTCTTCAACCATGGGCCTCCAAAGTAAGTAATTGTTATTTTCTTAGCAATTGATTTAATCCAGTTATTAAATTTTATTTTGAATTGTAAATGAGCTTTATTGCACTGTTATATTTTCTAAACTTTAAAAATAAGAACTACAAAGTAGTTCTTCTCATTGCCATTTTGTTTTTAAATTTAAATATCTAAAACATTCTAATGTGACCTCTAAGAAGATTTGAAAGGTGCGTTTTAAATCTACAGACTTAAATTGCAGTGCGTTTGAGATGTACTCTCTTCAGACTGAATTATTTTTTGATTATGGCTATTGCTGTACTTATCAGTGATCGTACTCTAACTTGCTTCATTTTCTTAAATGGCTGATGTATTTAGGTATGTTAGTCTAATTTCTAGATTATATGACATGTTTCATTAATATGCTGTCAGATAAATTATGATTGAATTGTGCTATTTTACAGTTGAATTGTGCTATTTTACAAGGATTAGTTGATAATTCTTAAGCAGTGAAATAATATGAAGAAAATACTCATGAAAATCAATTATGTTAAAATATTTAAATAATGATTCTAAGTATTTTCAGGATAGTAAACCATTAGCAGCTGAAGACTATTTAACGTCATCTATCATACTTGTCATTTTTAAATAAACATAGTAACTCACAAAAAAGCAAAGTGCTACGCAACCTTCCAGGCTAGGTTGTAGGAAAATATATGCTCTAAATCAGTAAGTTTTATTATACACAGTGACTATTTATATAGTCAGTAATTTGATGCCACTCAAGTTATCTTTCCTGTCTCATGTATGTATTATAAAACAATGTTTTTTCAAAACATTTAAATTGTAACATTTAATATATTAAGATTTTTTATGGTTCTCTTGCATACAGACAGGCACAATAGAGGCACTTCTTAGTATGGTCTGAAATCATGTCTTTGTTTCAAGGTTGTCCTGTTGATGGTGACTAAGGAAGAAATGCTATGATAGCATCATGGTCTCTTTTTCTGTTTTATCTGGCCTAGCTCACTGCGTATCTTTCTTAAAGGCAGCTTCTGGAAAGACATTTAAATTCACTGTCCATTTGGCAAACAGCTGATTGAGATGAAAAGAAGCCTAGGTACATAGTATATTTGTGCTATTATCTGGCTAGGGCTTAAATGGCCTTTTTAGTGAAAATGACACCTATATGGTCAAGCATTGCTGATGCTTAATAGCTGCACTATACTACAAAGCTTTAAACCACTTGTAGAAAGCAAGTGAGTGAGACTATGTAAAAAAAAACTTTAAAGAAAATTAAGAATGAGATATAGGGGTTGTTTTTTAAAGTAACCAGCAAAATAAAGTAGCCTTTGGAGTGCTGATAGCCAACTTTCAATCCCAGATTTAACAAATATGGAAGAGTCAAAGAAAATTTCAAAATCAGCTTCCAAGATTTCACGAAATGCCAGCAAACATTATATGAGCAGGATTCTGGATTGGTACTCTACTGTGTAAATCAAGTATTTGTAAGAGTATATGTCTCTGTCCCCCTTCTGTCATGTTACTGTTGATGGAATTTTGACTCTGGATTGCAATTAAACACATAAAGCTTAGAATTTTTTTATACTTCTTTTCATTTTCCGTACATTTTACTGGTTTTATTTTTATTCATGTGTTTTTGCCTATGCTACTATGTACTTGCATTTTACTACTTCTGAATTCATTAATTTTCTTGCTAAAATAGTCTTATTAGCACAGTTCTGTTGGGGGTTGGGGAAGAATGAATCATAAATGCCTTCCTTTATATTTACTCTTAACATAATTGTTTAGTTGAATACAAAATAATAAATCCAAAGTCTTTTTCCTTTAGCACTTTGAAAAAGTTACTACACTGTCTTCTGGCCTCCAGTGTTGCTGATGAGAAGTCTGAGCTCATTATAATTTTTTTTCCTTTGTTAATAACTTTTGTTAGTAGTTAGTTATGTGTTTGTTATTTTACTACTTCTTCTTTTTTTTTTTTTTTAAAGAGACGTGGTCCTCCAGCTTGGCCAGCATGGTGAAACCCCATCTGTATTAAAAATACAAAAATTAGGCCGGGCACGGTGGCTCACACCTGTTATCCCAGCACTTTGGGAGGCCGAGGCGGGCAGATCACCTGAGGTCTGGAATTTGAGACCAGCCTGACCAACATGGAGAAACCCTGTGTCTACTAAAAATACAAAATTAGCTGGGCGTGGTGGCGCATGCCTGTAATCCCAGCTACTTCGGAGGCTGAGGCAGGATAATGGCTTGAACCTGGGAGGCAGAGGTTGCTGTGAGCAGAGATCACACCATTGCACTCCAGCCTGGGCAACAAGAGCGAAACTCCGTCTCAAAAAAAAAAACAAAACAAAAATTAGCCAGGTATGCTGCCATACATCTGTAGTCCCCCCTACTCGGGAGGTTGAGGTGGGAGAATCGCTTAAATCCAGGAGGCAGAGGTTGCAGTGAGCTGAGATTGTGACTCTGCACTCTAGCCTGGGTGGACAGGGAAAAAAAAAAAAAAGAGAGAGGGACAAGGCCCTGCTCTGTTGCCCAGGCTGGAGGGCAGTGGTGTGATCATGGCTCACTGCAGCCTTGAACTTGTGGACTCAGGGGATCCTCCCACCTCAGCCTCCCACACAGCTGGGACCACAGATGCACACCACCATCCCTGGTCAATTTTCTAGTTTTTTTGTAGAGACAAGGTCTCTCCATCTTGCCCAGTCTGGTCTCAAACTCCTGTACTCAGGCAGTCCTCATGCCTTGGCCTCCCAAAGTGCTAGGATTACAGGCATGAGCCACTGTGTCCAGTCTTTGTTTTATCATTATTATTATTATTTTTATCCTTGATGCCATGAAATTTTGCCCTGGATTGCCTAATTTTTGTTCCCCTATGGACACTTTTAGAGTATTCTCTCAAGCTGAAAATTTTCATTTGTCTTCAGTTGTGAGATCTTTTTTTTTTTTTTTGGACAGAGTCTCACTCTGTTGCCCAGGCTGGAGTGCAGTGGCGTAACCTCCACTCACTGCAACCTCCACCTCCTGGGTTCAAGCGATTCTCCTGTCTCAGCCTCCTGAGTAGCTGAGACTACAGGCACCCGCCACCACACCCGGCTAATTTTTGTATTTTTAGTGGAGGTGGAGTTTCACCATGTTGACCAGGCTGATCTTGAACTCCTGACCTCAAATGATCCACCCACCTCAGCCTCCCAAAGTGCTGGGATTACAGGCATGAGCCATCGCGCCCGGCCCCTAGAAGCTATCTTACAATTCTGGTGGCTTACTTTTAATTTTGTAAGGCCTCCATCGTCTTGTGCTTCAGCTAGTGTCTCCTATCTCTTGTGTGTACCATTTTCTTCTATTTCACCTTCTGTCCTTCCAGAGTGATCTTAAGAGTAGGTACCCTAAGTAGAATATTGAGTCATAAGATAGATATGTTTTAAATGTAATCTTACATTTGCTCCCCAAAGTGGCTACTCCTCAAATTGTTGTCCAAAATGGTTATACCAGTTCATACTCCCATTAGCAGTTTGTGAGAATATTGTTTTCCTCCATAGTCTTTCCTGCATTTTGTATTATCAGACTTACTTTTTGCCAATTTGATGGGGAAAAAAGTATTTGTTTTAGTTTTTATTTCCCTGATTACTTGCAAGATTAACATTCTCTTCCAGCTGTTGTTTGTTTGTTTGTTTGTTTGTTTGTTTTTCCTGCTGTTGTGACCTCAATGGCCTTATGTTGAGATGGCAGAGCCAAAAACACCTAAACAGTTTGGATATCTGAGTCTCTGTATACTACGGGAGTTACCCCATAAGCTGCCTGTACACTTCACTAGGGTAAGCCTTAGTGATCTGAGGGCCCTCTATTGTAACAAAATCTAGTCTAACTGAGATATATAGTAGCTCTTTTATCACTGCCCTTCCCAGAAACCTATAGTAACTCTATATTGTCTATAGGAACCAAATTCAAAATGCCTAGCTTGGCATTGCTGATTATATTCTACCTCTAGCCTTTTCTCAATACCTCTCTTTCCCTGCCCCCCCTCTCTATATACAAAGTATTCAGCAGACTTTGTAACTTCATAATGTCTGTATTCAAGTTGTTAGCTAAAAAAGTTTCTTGCCGCTTCAAATAGAACTTTAACAGTAGGCCTTGTGGACATGTTATCTCCAGCAGAGCACGGAAGTTCAGGTATAGGAAATGGATGAAGGATGCTGTGAAAGATGGGAAGTTTTGCCAGACCTGGTGGGCTGGAAGGACAGTGAGGTAAATGAATTGAAGTTGCTGATGAAAGATCAGCTGTTGAGTCCAGGTGGATCAGGAAGAGAAAGAGAAAGGGCAGGTAAGCTGAGAGATAGTGGAGAAGATTTAAGGAACCAAGAACTTCTTTTGGAGGAAAAGCCTTTCCTTTGTGCTTCATTTGTTACAAAGAAAAGATAAACTATTGGGTGTTGTGAACTCCCAACTGAGTATCAGGAAACAACTTAGTAGAAAAGAGCAATTGTTTTAGTCAGGCTGCCTGGGTTTCAGATCCCAGGACCCCAGTTTCCTAGCTATGTGACTCTGGGAAACCTTTATAACATCTCTAAGATTAGGTTTCCTACTCTATAAATTGGGTATAATCATAGTATTACCTCATCTGGTTGTTTGAATATTAGATGAGATAATCTGTGTGAAAGACATGTAGAAGTGTGTGTTCGGTACAAATAACTCAGATGTTAACTGCAGTCAGCATCATTATTCTCATTATGTAAAGAGGTTGAGGGAATTCCTGTATGACATTTTCTTCATGAAGTAGAAAGCAGATGCTGTTTGCTTATAAATCTGTCTCCATTGTCCACTATTAGACTGAGCTCCTTGAAGGCAGGGCCCATATGTTTTCATTTTTATGTCATCAGCAGAGTTCCTGACACAAAGTAGAATATAACAGAAAAGTGCTAGAGTCAGACCTGGGTTTGATTCCTAACTCTACTACTTACTTGAGTGTATGATCTGGGCCAAGTTGCTTAATCGTATTGCCTCTGTTTCTTCATCAGTAAAATAGAGATAATAATAGCACCTGCTTTTTAGGGTCTAGTGAGGGTGAAGATTGCTCAGTACATTGTCAGTACTATGAAGCCACTTGGCGGACTTCTGGCTTTGGTTCATTGTGTTACTTTTATGAATGACATTCTTCTCCTTGGTCTTCTTACCTCTGTGGGAATTTGCAATATATACTGTCTCCTACCCCTGACACCCCAACCAAACACCACACACTTTAAAGCTATTTTCAGTGTTTGCCTTTCCAATTACTTCATTCCCAGATGAGTTTTTTTTTTTCATATCTAAATAACAAACCAAGTGGGAGCAAGGTCTTTGAACTGTATCATACCCTCATAAATATTTCTGCATTATTGTAAGGAATTATGAGCTTGTTAATTTTTTTTTGTTGCCTTTTATTAGAGCTATAAATGGCCTCTAAGCATGACTTTAACTTATCCCACAGGTTTTGATATATGGCATCTTAATTTTCTGTTTTAATATTTTCTAATTTCTGTTTTAATATTTTCTAAATTTCTAATTTCAGTGTGACTTCATTGATTTATGGGCTATTTCAATAGAGGATTATTTACAATTTTCTAACATGATAGTTTTCTATTTATCTTTTTGTTATATATTTCTACCTTATTTGCACTGTTATTGCTGAATATTCCCTGGTTTCAGTCTTTTGTAATTTGTTGAGACTTGCCTTATTGTAAATTTTTACAAATGTTTTAATATGTGCTCTAAAAGAAAATGTGTTCTGGAGTTTTTGGTTCCGTTATTCTATGTCTATACTCTTTAGGTCATTTGTTAATTATGTTCATTTCTTGTATATCTTTACTTGTTTTGTTTTTGTGTGTTTTGCTTATTCAGACTGCTACTGAGATCTGTATTAAAAATTTATAGCATAATTGTAGATGACATTTTTGCCTTATACATTTTTTAAATTTTAATTTATTTTTAATTCACAAATAATAATTGGATGTATTTGTGGGGTACAGGGTGATGTTTTGATACATGTTCACGTTGTGAAACTATCAAATCAAGGTAGTTAATATATCCATCATCTTGGCCAGGCATGGTGGTTCACACTTGTAATCCCAGCACTTTGGGAGGCTGAGGCAGGCAGATTACTTGAGGTCAAGAGCTGGAGACCAGCCTGGCCAATGTGGTGAAACCCCTTCTGTACTAAAAATACAAAAATTAGCTGGGCACGGTGGTATACATCGGTAATCCTAGCTATTCAGGAGGCTGAGGCAAAAGAATCACTCAAACCCGGGAGGCAGAGGTTGCAGTGAGCTGAGATTATGCCACTGCCCTCCAGCCTAGGTGACAGAGCGAGACCCTCTCTCTCTCTCTGTGTATATGTGTGTGTGTGTGTGTGTGTGTGTGTGTGTATCCATCTATCTATAGATATAGATATAGATATATAGATATAGATATAGATCTCCATCCATCACCTCACGTACTTATAAAATGTCCCCTATTGGCTCTACTAATGCTTTTGCACCAAGTGTACTTTAGGCTATATCAACTTCCTTTTGGTTGTGTTTGCATGGTGTATATTTTTCCATTCTTTGATTATTTAATATTTTCCCCTCTGTTAACTTGGTAGGTATACACTTTTTTACTGTGCTTTTCCTAAATCAGAAATTACAACACACATTCTTCACCTATCAAGTCTGCTACTACAGCTTCATGGACAGTGCAAGGAACTGAGAGCACTTCAGTAGCTTCATTTACCCTTCTCCGGACTTACATTCTGTTGTTGTATTTTAATTATTGTATTTTAAACTTCATGGGTTATTAATGTTACTATTTTATATAGTCAGCATTCATGTAGATTTAGCCACACATTTCCCATTTTCCTTGGTTTTTCTTCTTTCTTGTGCCTGAAAGCTTCCATCTGGAATCATTTTTCTTCTCCCAGTGGATTTTGTTCATTGTAGGACTGCTAAGGAATTATTTCCTTCATTTTTCTTTATTTGAAAATTATTTTTCCCCTTTTTTGAGGACTGTTTTTGCTAGGTATAGAATTTTAGCTCTTGGAGATATCACTCAATTGTCCTCTGGCTTCCAGAATTTATGTTGAGAAGCCAGCCATCAGCTTAATTTTGCTTCTGCCAAAGTAATTAATCTCTCAGGTTTTTTTCCTGGCTACTTTAAAACTTTTATCTTGGTATTCCACCTCACCCCCTGACACATGTACCCTGGTGTGAATAGGTATGGGGGGAGGGGGATTGTTTGTTTTGGAGTGGGTTTTTGTTTTATGTTTTTTGTTTTTTGTTTTTTTATCTTGCTGAGAGTTTTTAAACCTCCTTGATCTGTGACGTTAGGTCTTTTGTCACTTTTGGAAAATGCTTAGCCATCATCTTGCTTCTGTGTACTCGCTCCTCTCAGACTCTGGTTATTCAGATGTCATGTTCTTACTGAATCTCCTGTGGCTCTTACCCCTTCTCTCCCAACTTCACCTTTTTTCCTCTCCATGCTTCATTCTGGATATTTTTCAGACTAGTCTTTACTTTTCAAATTCTGTTTTTAGCTCTGTCAGATCTTTTTTTAAGCCTACTTGTCGGCTTTTTAATTTCCATAATTGCATATTTTAGTTCTAGATTTTTCATTTAATTCTTTTTCTTTCTTTGCTGAAATTGTTAGTCTTGTATTTTTCTCTCTATATATGATAAATCACTAACTGGACCAATTCTGACCAGTGAGCTATATGACCTGTGAGCTAAGAATGGTTTTTACATTTTTAAAGAGTTGTTAAAAAGATTTTTTTTAAAAAGCAGCATACAGCAGAAACTGTATGTGGCCTGTGAAACCTAAAATATATATTCTTTGGCCCTTAGCGAAAATGTTTGCCAACCCCTGGTATATATTAAACACAGTTATTTTAGAGACTGTGTCTGGTAACCCTATTATTTGAAACTTCTTTGTTAGTTTCTGGAGTTTATTCCGTACTTTTCATCAATACCATCCTGTCTTATCATATATGCCTGGTTTTATTGGACTGAGCAATGGATGCTGTATATGCGAAAAAAATTTTTTTAATTGAGACCTAGGATGACTTTCTTCCTATAGTGAGGATTTGTGTTTGCTTCCAACAGTTGATTGGAAATACTAGTAATCCTATATAACCTTATTTTAGCATCAGGCATTGAGGTGATTCTAAAAGTAGCATCAGTTTACTTTTGGGTGACTTTTACTCTAGAGTCTAATTTACTCTGCAGGGTCCCAGTCCAAAGATAGCCCTTCCATCCTAGGCCTTGGAATTTAACCTTTGTCCCTTTAGCCAGTGGCTGTCACAGGTACTTCTTGGCCTTTTAGCCTTTTCTTTAGGAATCAGAAAATATTCTTAAGAGAAAAAGTAACCTCAGAGGCCAGATACTCTGTGTGTATATGTATGTATGTATTTCAGGTTTTCTGTTTATCTTAGTACTAGGATTCATCTGAATTATCTAACATATCGTTATCAGCAGGGGAAGTTCGTGATGTACTTTATGTGTAATTTTTATAATTACATTAATTCCTCTTGAGATAATATAATTCAGACTCAGTCATTCCCTCAGTACATTTAATATACACTATGTGTGTGTTTCTTTAATGTTTTTCAGTAGTAAAGCAATAAGAAACCCTATTTTTAAAATTAAATTGATTTTTTTTAAGCCCTGAATAGCAAGTTGCAGAGAAATCATTTGAAAAATAAATAAACATACCTCTTATGTAAAACTTTTACTACTCTGGAATGCAATGGTTTGTTTATTGTCTTAATTTCTGTAGCTTTTATTTTGTGAGATGTCTGTTTTATGGTATGAAATATATTATACAGCCTGCATACCTCATAAGAGTGTGACCATATTCAAGATGAGGTGGTGGAGTCACTTACTTTTTGTGTTTCTCGTATACCTGCGCCTAGTACAGACATTCATTAAATCATGTTGATTACTAAGAAATCTCTCAGGGGCCAACTAGAAGCTAATTCAATATTAAGTGTAAAGATGCTTACAAAGTTTTTGGAATATTGAATGTAATCAATTTGTTACTGGTCTTAAGTCTTGCTTCCAGTAGCTGAATTCCAAGATATTGCTGTTTTATTCTTGTGTTAGTCACCATTTTTTATTAGGAGGGAGGGTGGGGGGGGGGGGGGGGGAGAGAGAGAGAGAGAGAGAGTGTGTGTGTGTGTGTGTGTGTGTTTAAAGGGTAACATTGCTACCCTTAAATGGACAGATCTGATGTTTTTATTTTTATTTTATTTTTTTTGAGACGGAGTCTCACTCTGTCGCCCAGGCTGGAGTGCAGTGGCCCGATCTCGGCTCACTGCAAGCTCCGCCTCCCGGGTTTACGCCATTCTCCTGCCTCAGCCTCCCAAGTAGCTGGGACTACAGGCGCCCGCCACCTCGCCCGGCTAGTTTTTTGTATTTTTTAGTAGAGACGGGGTTTCACTGTGTTAGCCAGGATGGTCTCGATCTCCTGACCTCATGATCCACCCGTCTCGGCCTCCCAAAGTGCTGGGATTACAAGCTTGAGCCACCGCGCCCAGCCGATCTAATGTTTTTATTTGGGAGGATAGAAGGTCCAAGTTTTTCCTCACAAGTATCATTAGTAATGGCTTTTGAAAACTGTTCAGTGAGCTTACCATTGTAGAATTGCCTAATCGTTTCAGAGAGTACTATATGGTTCTTATTTCAAAAGATCTTTTTGCTAAAAGTGGAGAACTTGGATTAGAAATGAGATGGCACAGTAATGTACGTAAAAATTTGTTGAAGTTAACGTGTCAAAACCGCTTAAAAAGGTAAAGACATTTAGAATAACTTAAATTATTTTTTTTTCAGCTTCCAGCTGATCTTACCAAGATGCATCTCACAGACAACCCTCATCCACAGGTGACTCATGTGTCTTCTAGTCAGTCTGGTTGTAGCATCGCCAGTGACTCTGGAAGCAGCAGTTTATCTGATATCTATCAGGTAATACCTTAGGAATTTCTGTGCTGTGTATATGGTTTTTTTTATTCTGCCAGATATTCTGTGCTTGTGCCTTAGATGGTTAACGTATCTTTTAGAGTATGAAATTCAAGCGTAAGGTCTTTGAAAAAATAAACTTTCAAAAATATATTGTGTCAAATTTGTAAGCCTGATTAAAGAGACAATCTCTCTTTTGAGAATGATTAAGTATGGTTCAGCAGAGTATGAATCTAGTGTTCTCTTTCATTTATCCAGGTGAATCCATATTAATATCTAATGCTTGTTTTGGTTAAAAAATTAGTTCTTGGAATAACTGAACTTATAAAAACACTGATTTTTGTTATAATTGACTGTATGTGTCTTCTGTAGTTAGAAGTCATGAAGAAAATTAGAGCTGCTTTTCTACCATAAGCCTCTGTTGTTGTAGTATGGCATGAATTAAATAGCAAATTAGTGAGAATATTTATGGACTTTTCCGTTTTCTAAAACCCAAAAGACACAATTTCAAACCTACTGAGCTTTTCAGTGATCCTTATAATAGTGGGGAGAAGATTCTAGGAAGACCCATAAACTGAGAGAATCCTCACATGATCGTGCTGAGATTGAACCCAAGTTAGGTTTAAGCCAGGGCAATAAGCATTTCGGGATCCAGATAGTGGAACTTCCAGTGATGTCTCCTTTAATGCAAGTTGTAAGGAGCAGTTCCCTGGGTGTGGAGCCCAGTGATTGATTTTGTCAGAGATTATGAGTATAGAACATAAAACAGTTTAAATAAAATAACAAGAGGAATACATGATATTCAGGATTGGTTTGTTAAGGAATTCAAATACATTATCTATTCCAGAGCTTTCAAATAGAAATTTAATGTGAGCCGCGTATTTAATTTTAAATTTTCTAGTAGCCACATTAAAAAATATAAAAGGAAACAGGTAAAATCGATTTTAGTAATATGTTTTATTTAGTGCAGTATAACCAAATATTATGATTAAAACATGTATTTAATGTTTTAACATTATGAATGAGTTACCTTACATTCCTTCTTCGTACTAAGTCATCAAAAAACAGAGTTTAAAGTTATGGCACATCCCAATTTGACTAGCCATGTTTTAAGTGCCTAATAACCACATATGGCTAGTGGCTACCATATACTAAGATTTGTAGAAATAGTATCATTATTGTCTGAGGAAAGCATTTTAGACTGGTTCTACAGAGTTACCCTGATTGAGATATTTTAGGAAAACAGTCTTCTTCTATTCAGGGAAGTTTGTAGGCAGATGCAAGATGGAACAAAGACAATACCCATTTTTTTGGTTTATATGTGGCTTTTCTCAACAAAGGTCATTGCTGTGGTCATCTATATCTCCCTGTTTGCTTTTTACAGTATACAGAACGAGGAATTTTTCCCTGTTCTCCATTTTATAGTAGAGAACAAAGAATTAAAAGAGAGATGAAACAAGTTAATACAATGGCTCTGGGACCACTTAGTGCTTGTGTACCTATTGGGCTTCATGCATTCTGCCTGTCCCCAAAAGAGTTAGCTTGTGAAAGAAGAATTGTTGCACATGTAAAAATCAAGGTAGACTGTGTTTTTCCAGAAGAAAACGCTGAGGAAGATTGACCCTGGATCAGTGAAGTTCAGGGATGTGGCTGTAGATTTCTCTTAGGACATGTGAGAATATCTGGACCTCTCAGAGACTATACACAGAGGTTTGGTGTTGAAAAACTATAGGATGGGAGGCCAAGGCAGGCGGATTACTTGAGGTTAGGAGTTCAAGACCAGCATGACCAACATGGTGAAACCCTGTCTCTACTAAAAATTCCAAAATTAGCTGGGCGTGGTGACACACCTGTAATCCCAGCTACTTGGGAGGCTGAGGAAGGAGAATTGCTTGAGCCTAGGAGGCGGAGGTTGCAGCAAGCCAAGATCATGCCAATGCACTCCAGCCTGGCCAACAGAGCAAGACTCTGTCTCAAAAAAGAAAGGAAAAGAAAAACTATAGGAACCTGGTATCACTGGGATATCCATGTCTCTAAGCCAGAATAGTGCACAGATTAAGATTCAAGGTCACTTGGAAAGACCAATGCTTTGTTGTGAACTAGAAGATGGACTGTACACAGTTGGTCCCTACATCTTTGCAAAGATGCTACAGGAGCTCCTATAGCATTGCACTTATATTAGCACCTGCAGATTACTCGCCTTTTAGCTGGACAACCTGAGGATGAGACTGGAATACACCTGCTGGTGTTGGTTGGAGGTGTTCTATTGCAGGACCAAGGCATAGCCTATGTCAATATGTAGAATATTTCCATCACTTCAGAAAGTACCCATATGACCCTTTGCAGTCAAGTCCCTTCTCCTGACCCCTATCCTAAGCCCTGGCAACCACCAATCTCTTTTCTACCCATAAAGTTTTGCCTTTTCCAGAAGAGAGGCACTGAAAGTCTAAGGTTCTGGCTTAACACTTGCCCTAAATTTGAAAGTGTGGTTTTTGTAAGTTTGTATAACTCTTTCTTCCAGCCTATAGTTCTCTTCATTGTAGCTTCATGTTTATCTAGATGGAAACAGGAAAAGGATATCCTCTGGTGGTTTATTTGGGGAAGGCCGAGTCATCAGAAAATCACCTCAGACTGTCTGCCTCACCAAATTATATTTATACATACAGAGACACATTGATATGTCAGGAAAAGAAAAAAGTTTCATACTGTCTTAATCCTATCACCAGTATATATGTTTTTCCTGGACTTAACTCATTTATCATAATTAAGGGTCTGATATATCCCAGGTGCTAGGATAAATTAACTGAAAGGCCTGGGCTCAGTCTTCTATGTACCCTACCTTCATGAATACGGAGTGTCTTTTGACCCACATATTTCCACTCTTGATATTACGATATGAGTCTCTAAGGCTTTGTTAATATTTTTGGGGGGCTTTTTTCTCATCTCTACTTCAGATTGGGTAGCTTTTGTTGCCCTTTCTTCAAATTTATTCTTCTTACAGTTTATATCTCCTTACTGAGATTATCCATTTTTCCTCTAATTGTTTTTCTTCTAAATTCTTGAACTTATTTATAATAAATGTTGAAAGTTCTTGTCTCTTACTTTCATTATCGAGTCTCTTTATAGTGATTTGTTTCCTGTTTATAGGTCACATTTCCCCACTTCACTTATGTAGTAAGTTTTTATTGTATGCTGAACATTGTGGATATTACGTTGAAAAAAATTCTTATCTAATTATTATAGCATTAAACTTTCTGCCCAGGAACTTATAGCATTAAACTTTCTGCCCAGGAACGGCATCTTCAGAAGTGTCATGCGGTGACGACTTGTCCTGTGGTCGTAATCATATCTACCTTTCTCTTAAGGACCTGGCTTTCCTTTGTTTAATCAAGGAATTAGTCTCTACATTTTTTTTTAAATTTAAGTTTTAAAAAAATCCTTTTAAATTTCCTGGCATGTTTTTGACCAGTCTTATTTTTTTACTCTTAATTTCTATTTTATCACCTTATGCTCTTGTATACTCTTAATATTTTAATAGTTTAGTGTATTTTCTTAACTAATTTTATTCTTTTTCTTTTTATACTACTATGTAAAAAGTAGAGGTATAAGAAAGGTAGTTGTGGTTTTTTGGGGGTTTTGGGTTTTGTTTTTGAGACAGGTTCTCACACTGTCACCCAGACTGGAGTGCCGTGGCAAGATCTCGGCTCGCTGCAGCCTTTGCCTCAGAGGCACAAGCAGTCCTCCCACCTCAGTCTCCTGAGTAGCTGGGACTGCAGGCATGTGCCACCACACCTGACTAATTTTTATATTTTTTGTAGAGACAGGGTTTCTCCATGTTGCCCAGGCTGGCCTCACACTTCTAAGCTCAAGTGATCTGCATGCCTCAGCTTCCCAAAGTGTTGAGATTACAGGCAGGAGCCATTGTGCCTGGCCTAGAAAGGCAATTGTAAGGGTAGATTATAGTCTTTCCTTTGCAGTTGGTGTGAAAAAGTTCCTTAAAAAGTTCTTTTAGTAACCTCTAAGTCCCAACCCATGACTTCGTTCTTCCTAAAGAGCTGTCGTCTTAGTTGTCTTTGCTTCTCATGCAGATGATAATTAGCCTTCCCTATTGTCCATATAACTAAATTCCATCTTGCCTTTTTATGTTGTGAGCTATCTATCTTTTTATGCAACATAATCTAAAATATGGGAATGAAACTAGGTTGAAATAATCTGGGTCAGGGGATGAAAATCTTAGATTAAGATGAAGATGGTGATTTAAAAACCTGAATTTTTAATGCAGATTACACTTAAAAATTGATAAAATAGGAAAGGGATATTCCAGGAGTGAGCTCTCCTGCACATTGAGAAATTAAATTGTGTAGAAAATACTGTTGTAGGTTTCTTCCCCAGTTGTTTCTTAGATTAAATCAGTGTATATAAATAAGATTTTTCAAAAGTCTTTTTAGCATGTACACATATTTAAATTTAAAAGTACTTGTCTTTAAAAAAGGATTATAACGTGCAAACAAGTTTGTGGTTCTATGTATTATTCAGAAATATACTCCATTTAAACCCTATAATTTCATAGCCAGAAAACAACTCAGCATACTAATCAGTCATGAGATAAAATTGCCCTTATATGATCCTGTCTTAGTCCATTCAGGCTGCTATAACAAAATACTGTAGACTTAGGGATAGCTTATAAACAACAGAAATTTATTTCTCACTGTTCTTGTGGCTGGAAAGTTTAAAGATCAAGGCACCAGCAGCAGATTTGGTGTCTGGCAAAAGACCTCTTTCTGATTGCTAGAGGTACCTTCTAATCGTAGCTTCACAGGGTAGAAGGGGAGAATGAGCTCCCTCAGGCTTCTTTTATGCTAATCCCATTCATGAGTGTTCTCATGACCTAATCACTTCCCAAAGTCTACACTTCATAATTCCATCAGTTTAGGGGTTATGATTTCAACATAAGAATTTTGAGGAGATACAAACATTCAGACAGTCGCAGACCCTTAAGAACTAGCTTGTCTAAAGATCACAATTTGAGTATTTAGTCTGGATTGTTAAATGACTATTACTTAAAGCTGTGCAGAAATCCAAAGGAAGTATAAGACATGGTTTTAGGAAACACATCCGGACTCTTCCAATTGTAGTTATCAGAGCCTTAACTTGAATTAACAAAAGCCAAAAGGCCAGTGGTTGTGGTCCTAGCTACTAGGGAGGCTGAGGCTACAGTGAGCTATGATCATACCACTACAGAAGCTTGGGTGACAGAGTGAAACCCTGTCTTTAAAAAAAAAGAAAGAAGAAAAAAAAAAATTGTAAAGCCAAAAGTTTAGTTTATTGACCCCCTAGAGAAAGCAGAGGCAACTCTAGCCTCAGGATACCTGGATGCTTGCAGGTATGTCTGCCCCGTCTGCCTGTTTCTGGTCTTTTAGCTCTGTATAGCTTGCTTATTTTTCCTTGCTTGCTTTCTTTGTGACACTTTCTGTCACAAATGCTCTTTGCTACACATACTGTGCTCTTTCTTTCTCTGTCCTGCATGCTCTGTTTCTGTTGCTTTGTTGCTCCGAGTCTTTGTTTGACTCTCTTGTTCAGTGTCCTCCTCCCCATTCCCCTTCCCATTTCCCGGCCTATTGGTTTCATTTTCTCCTGCCATAGAAAGGAATTTCTATGTGGCTATAGGCTGCCTACTTTCAGATTCTTCCAATTTAGCAACCAGATAAGAAAGGATGCTCTGCTTCCAGATCTAATTGTGTACAGAAATCTAGAGAAAAGCTCTTTCTACCTTAATTTGCATAGCTAGGGAACAGGGCACTGTTTCCCACTGGAATCTCTGGGTTTAAGATGCAGAGGAAAAGTAGTCCTCAAAAGAAGGAAGATCAGCTGGGCATGGTGGCTCACCCTGTAATCCCAGCATTTTGAGAGGCCAAGGTGGGTGGATCACATGAGCCCAAGGTTCAAAACCAGCCTGGGCAGCATAGGGCAACCTCCCCCCAAGTCTCTACAAAAATTTCAAAAATTAGCTGGCTATGGTGGCGCATACCTGTGTTCCCAGCTATTCAGGGCGCTCAGGAGAGAGGATTTCTTGAGTCCAGGAGGACAAGGATTCAGTGAGCCGAGATCTGCAGTGCACACCACTACACTCCAGTCCAGGTGATAGTGCGAGAACCTGTCTCAAAAAACAGAAAAAAAAAAAGATCTCTTGGCAGAGGAAAGGGTAAATGTTCAAAACAGGAGATACTTAATGAATTAAGATTCTGTAGTCTTTGCTAATACTCATTTGAGTGCTTTCTACTTATTATGGAATTCTTGTGTGTTCACTTATTTTTTCTATAATGCCTTTAATATCCATGCTTTTTCATTAACAAGATTAATCAAGTGAGTATAATATTTAGAAATACTTTTTAAGAATCTACTTAGTACCATTTTATCTTCTAAAAGACATTTTCATTATTTTCTATGACTTTTTAATTTATGGTTTTTAAACATTTTATAGTTTCTTTAAAATATGTGAGACTAATATGTTTCCAAATTGTAGTTGTAAGTATAAGGTCATTTTATAGAGTGATTCAAAAATCACAGCTCTTTGCACACTTTTAGATCCAACAGTAAAGTATTGGGAAATGAAAAGTATTTGTTCAGTCTTTTACGATGGGTCTATTTTAGTACATTTTAGTACTATTCTTTACCTTACTTTAAACTTCTGTTCTAATTTATCTGATTACCTACCCTACTAAGCCTAAGCCTCTGTGATGAAAGAACATTATCTTCTTCACAACACCCAGCATAGACTAATAGGTACTCATAAGGTGATTGTTAGTAAACTTTTTCTTTCCTGTACTTCATGTTTTAGTAAACTTTGTACTTTTAAGAAATGCAAGTGTTTGGTGGAAAACAGATATTAATACATTTAGTGATGTTTGAGTCTCCTGACCATTTTACATTTACTGACGTTGATTTATCACCTAATTGTCACATTGTGGAAAGATGCGCCTGCAAATTTGGGGCAGAAAGAAACCTTTTATAAATAAGTATCATTTTATTGTATCCTTGATGCAGCATACAGTGTTGCCCAAATCTTCTATTTTGTAGGGATTGGTAGTTTTGATTAATTCAGACTGTGACTTACAGTATTTTTAACATGAAATGGTAAGTGATCAAGATTTCTTTTGATAGGCTACGGAGAGTGAGGTAGGAGATGTAGATTTGACACGTCTTCCAGAAGGACCTGTTGATTCTGAGGATGACGAAGAGGAAGATGAAGAGATTGATCGAACAGATCCATTGCAGGGGCGAGATCTTGTTCGAGAATGTCTTGAAAAAGAGCCTGCAGACAAAACTGATGATGACATTGGTAAGAAATACATGTGTTCACAGTAAGAATTTGTAGCTTAATTTATATGGTCACCTATAGGTGCATAACAAATCATTCTAAAACTTAATAAATGTATGTTGTGTTAAGCCATTATCTTAGAATTTTTGTGAGTCAGAAATTTAGGAGCACCTTACCTGGGGGTTTCTGGCTTGGTATCTCTCATGAGGTTGTAATCAGAATTGGCAGAGGACTGCAGCCATCCAGGTCTTCCCTGGTCTGAGCTGTAGAATCTGTGTCCAAGATAGCTATTCAAATGGCCTTTGGTGCATGACCTTCAGTTCCTCTTCATGTGGGCCTCTCATAGGCTGCTTAATTGTCCTTACAACATACTTAGGGGGAACTTAGGCTTCCTCCTAAGTAAGTAATCCGTGGGAGAATAAGGCAAATGCCACAGTGTTTTTTATTATCTGTATTCAAGAGTAATGCATCATCACTTCTGCTAAATTCTGTTTGTTACACCAGGTAACTCTGATACAGTATAGAATGGGTCCGTACAAGGACATGACTATCAGGAGGCAGGGATCACTGGGAGCCATCTTTGAGGTTGGCTGCCACAATATAAAATAAAAGCTTTGATTGCATTAAACTGATTTTTCCCCTCATGTCTATAAGACATTTAAAGCACAAGCATAGTACAGTGTTCGCTGTCTGTGAATTTGCTTTTTGAAAAACTTGCAGATTTTTAAAAAATTTATATTTTTATTCCCCTAGCTTAAATATCTGTATGTTTTGTGTGTACTCTTTTTTTTTTTTGAGACAGAGTATTTACTCTGTTGCCCAGGCTGGGGTGCAGTGGTGCAATCTGAGCTTACTGCAAGCTCCGTCTCCCAGGTTCATGCCATTCTCCTGCCTCGGCCTCCCTAGTAGCTGAGACTACAGGCGCCCGCCACCACGCCTGGCTAATTTTTTGTATTTTTAGTAGCAGTGGGGTTTCACTGTGTTAGCCAGAATGGTCTCGATCTCCTGACCTTGTGATCCACCCGCCTCAGTCTCCCAAAGTGCTGGGATTACAGGCATGAGCCAGCGTGTCCGGCCATGTGTACTGTTAAAACATTATAAATTTTTGTATGTAATTTTTTATAAAACTAGTTACCCTACTTTAGTTGGGAAGTTGAATAATAACTAAAGATATTAATGTTATCTTTAAGAAGCAAAGATCACTTAGTATCAAATATATATTGTTAGGATTTAATTAAGATTTTTTTCTTAGATTGCATTGTTATAATAGCTACCATTCCAATTAGAAGATGCTGCTACTATTAAAAATCATTTATGTGAGTGAAGATCAATGTATTTGAACATTCCTTGCCATTCTAAAGATATAATATAGTTAAATAACCTGCAGTGTGGTCTCATGTTATGAACATTATCTGGACAGAAATTGAAAGTGCAATTTTACTGATAAAGATTTGTATACTATACTATTTTCATAAAACTTTTAAAAAATCAAAATATAGTTAATTCCTGTTCTCTATGGGTATGTAGCACCTTATAGTTATTCTTAATCTCTTTGCTGTCTGCTTATATGTGTTTCTTCCTTATATTTGTATCTTCCTTACACATATATCCATACCAGGGAGTGACCTGAGGCACTCATAAACATTTGTTGGTTAAAGAGAGTTACCTAATTAGACAAATCTTGAGCTAGAATTCACATTTCTTATCCCTGTTTTGATTACTTTTTGGTATTTGTTAATGGCATTTTAAAATACTTTTGTTTAACAAGAACTAGACAAAAGACTTTTTCACTAACCTGTTAGATCAAAGGCCATACCTAACTAAACCCATGGAGTGGCTAGGAATATTAGATACACTCTCCACTTTCATCTGAACCTGTGTAGTCCTTGTTCTCTCTGGAGGTTGTGAATTCTGGTATCTTTCAATATGCCCAGGTTTATACGTGAGTCTGAATATATGTATAAATCAAATAATTGATTTTAAAAATCAACAGTCAAATAGTACCTTAATTTCTCTACTTTAGCAACATAAATTTATAAGTTGATTGTGAAATTGGGAATTGAATTCTAGATTTCATTGTCTTTTTAAGGTATAGTCCTCGATGGTCTTTATACCAGAATTTCCGTTTTCTTATAGAACAACTGCTGGAGTTTATGCACCAGCTCCCTGCTTTTGCAAACATGACCATGTCTGTAAGGAGAGAACTCTGTTCAGTGATGATTTTTGAAGTGGTAGAGCAGGCTGGAGCTATTATTCTTGAAGATGGGCAAGAGGTATGTCAGTAAATAAATTATGTATATGTATTATGGATACTAACTTTTAAAATAATTTAATTTCCATGAACTTGTCCTGATTTTTGAGTCCTGATTTTTGAAATTTATACAAATGTTTTAAATGAATGCCAAGTTTGAGGTAGTTATAATTTCCGAAGAGGTAAGTTTTTGTTTTTGCTTTGCCCTAATTTTAAATTTACTCACAGTGGACTTTGCTCAAAGTCAGTGCTCCATAAATAATATTCAATGAACCAGATGTTTTTACTTCTCAAATACATTATAATTTAAATAGATTAAATAGATTTAAAATATTCTTAAATATTTTTATATTTGTGTAATTATATCATTATTATTGTTTAAAATGTTTATCAAGAATTTTTCTTATTCCTTGTCTCTATTACACATTTAAAAGAAAAAGAATGAGGAAAGTGTGTTGGTACCAATGCATCCTAGGGAACTGCTGACAGTTGAAGCATTTAGGTGACAATTCTACGTTCAAAAATGCTCAGATGACAGCTTGTGAATGGGTGGAGGAAGGATGCAAAGGGATTGGAAGGTATTATTACCATCAGGAAGTGCTTCATTATTTTTCTTACCAAATGTACTCATTTGATTAATGCTGAGATATGGGTAAATGAACATTGTCTTCTAGTGGGAATGTAAATTGGTACAGCATTTCCAGAAAATTATTTTTAAATTCTTAGCATGGTCCTCCAAGTATTCACAGCTGCTAACCTGTTATTCCACTTTTGAGTGTCTAATCTGAGGACACATGTAGAACTCAAAGAGTTATTTCAAAAGGTGTTCATTGCAGTACATTTATAATATAAATTATATACTTATATAGTCTATAAGTAAGTTACATATAATTACAGAATATTTATACTATAATATATATTTATATTACATGTATTTTATATATATATAATATTACATGGATTTTATATATATATAAAAAAGTAAAAATTGGACATAACAAAAATATCCAGTGATAAGCAGTGGTTAAATTAATTATTATATAGCTGTAGGTTATAATATATAGGTATTCAAATTATTTTTAAAATTATTTGATAGAATATCTTTGAGGATCCCTGTCTTTAGGCTCTGTTTACATATTTTCTCCCCATATCCTAGAAAACGTCAGTTATAGAGGATGGACTCCCCCGAAAAGTTTAATGAACAAGTGAATATAGTATTTATTTTTTAAGCAGAATATTGTAAATATTTCAGTAATATAAAATATATACGTAAGAGAGAAATAAACTTTAAACAACTGTATATGGTGGGATTTTAAGTAACTTTTATTTTCTACAAGTTTTTGCATTCTCTAAATTTTCCACAGTTGTATAAGCAAAAATTTGTCATATGCCTACTTTGTGCCAGGTACTGTTCTAGATATGGAAATATAGTGGTGAAAAAGCCAGATACACTCCCTGTCCTCCAGTAGCTTAATCCACAAGTTGTGTAGTGAGTATATCTTATTTTTAAAATAATAAAGGTATAATTTTGAAAAAAAACCTTATTGCCATTGATTACCCTTCAGAACTAACCATCTTGATTTCCCTTAAATCACATTAAAACGATTGAAGGTTCAGGCTTATAAGAAGGTTTGATATTAAAGGAGAATAAGTGGTCTTTCACTGATAGATAGTAGACCTTTAAAATACATCTTCTTTGGGCCAGGTGCAGTGGCTCATGCCTGTAGTCCCAGCACCTCAAGAGGCCTAGGTGGAAGGATAACCAGGAATTCAAGACCAGCCTGGGGAACATAGCAAGATCCTGTCTCTATTAAAAAATAAATTGACCAAGCATGGTGGTAGACACCTGTAGTCCCAGCTATTCAGAAGGCTGAGGCAGGAGGATCACTTGAGTCCAAGACTTTGAAGCTACAGTGAGCTGTAATCATACCACTGCACTCCAGCCTGGACAACAGAGCAAGATGCCATCTCTAAAATAAATAAATAAATAACTTCTTAGAGCATTAAATATTTCCATATAAATGAAGGCATTATTTTCTTAACATTAGCAGAAATTTTGAATCTTTTGTTAGATATGCCTTAAAATTCAGGCTTTTAATTCAGCTAGTTAAAAAAATAGCTGTCTATTTTTTTTCTTAAATGTTTGCTTTTTGCCAGGCACTATTCTAAGCACAGTGTATGTATTAACTCACTTAACGTAATAATTCTGTGATAGATAATTTCCTTACGACCATTGTAGCAGTAGAGAAACTGAGGCCCAGAGAAGTTAAATAATTTACCCAAAGTCATTCAGCTAGTTAGTGGCATGGTATGGATTAATATCCCAAGAGTTTGTGCTCTTGAACATTATGCTATTTTGTCTCAGAGAATCTGGTCAATTATGACAGTTCTTGTTTGGTGACTAAAAGAAGAAAGAGTAAAAATAAACTTTTAGTAGTTTGCATAGACTCAAAGCATAGGGTGTTACAGAGTATTTAGTAATATAACCAGATCCTCGTTTTTCCTTTTTAAATTATTCAAGTTATATATATTGTTAGATTCTTTTTGAAAGTTAATATATACCTTTTTTAAAAAGATTCATAAAACCTTTCTTTTTCTCTATAGCTTGACTCATGGTATGTTATTTTAAATGGCACTGTGGAAATCAGTCATCCAGATGGAAAAGTTGAAAATTTGTTTATGGGAAATAGTTTTGGAATTACTCCCACTCTGGATAAGCAGTACATGCATGGAATTGTCAGGACTAAAGTAGATGATTGTCAGGTAAGATTATCTCCTTGGTCAAGTCTTCTTGCTTGTCTGTTGATTTAAAGTAGCTCAGCCTGTTTTGTCTTCCTCAAAAGAAAATAGCTTTATTTGAGAATTAGGAGTTTCAATAGCTCACAGTTAATAAAGGAAACTTGATTTTGTATCTGCCTCACATATTTGTGGCATTTAACAAGCTATAAATTTTCAAAAGAGATACACCAAATAAATGCTAGTTTGTTACATTTCTATTTGATATTAGCCAGCTCAGAGTCCTTTATTTAAAAAAATAGAGGAAAGAAATAGGAACTTCTGAGTTGTTTGTTTCTAACTTACTCCTGCTTCATGTTTTCTTTACATAGTGTCAGTTTTGAGAGAAGTAGTTCACTTCTCCTTTTAAAGAGCAAAATTCAAACAGATTAGACTTCTTTAGTCTCTTCGTATGTGAATTGTTTCACCTTGATTTTTGTTAAAGATTAAAGGAATTAAGTGAAAAAGAACTAATGCCACTAGATTTCTTACCTTTGTGCTCTGCTTTGGTACATAGTGACATATTTATGTACTATAGGTTCATTAATTGTCCCCATGTTGTTCTTGGACAGTTTGTCTGCATAGCCCAGCAAGATTATTGGAGAATTTTAAACCATGTGGAAAAAAATACCCATAAAGTTGAGGAAGAGGGAGAAATTGTTATGGTACATGAGCATCGGGAACTAGACCGGAGTGGAACCAGGAAAGGACACATTGTAATCAAGGTGGGTGTTTTTACTTATTATTCTAGTCACTGATAGAATAAAGCTTTCGTCTTGTTTTAAACTATTTTTTAAGTAGTGCAAGATAATTCATTAACACTTTGGAATCTAACTTAAATGTTGACTCTCTGTCTTTTTCTAAATTTTTTTTTTTTTTTTTTTTTTTGAGATGGTGTCTCACTCTGTCACCCAGGCTGGAGTGCAGTAGCGCAATCTCAGCTCACTATAACCTCTGCCTCCCAGGTTCAAGCAATTCTTCTGTCTCAGCCTCCTGAGTAGCTGAGATTACAGGCATGCACCACCACGCCTGGCTAATTTTTGTATTTTTAGTAGAGATGGGGTTTCACCATCTTGGCCAGGCTGGTCTTGAACTCCTGACCCTGTGATCCTCCCACCTCGGCCTCCCAAAGTGCTGGGATCACAGGTTTGAGCCACCATGCACATTTTAATGATGAAGGATGACTTATTGCCATTTAATATCAGAGTAGGTAGGGTATTATTTTAGAATATACTGATCAGAGTTTTCCTTTTCAAACTTAATATTGTATGCCACTGCGAGTAGGAGTCAGTTTCATCAAAGACCACAATATTAAGAAACAAAACAAAATTTAAGGACCAGCCATAAAAGTGTAAGTAATCCTAGGTTAAGATGCAGAGTGCTTCTGGATCTCTGTGGCACTGAAATATGCATTAACTTCTCTGAACCTCACTTTTCTTACCTGAATATGGAAGTAATTCAAGACTTTATTAGGGCTAAATGAGGTAAATCAAAAGCCGTAGCACAATTGTAGAGTCTGAATATTAACCCCCATACTGTTTTCTCTTCTATAAGTTCTGCCCTCTCCTAATGTTTACCTTCTCTCCTCCTTGTCTCTTTAAAGACTTGGATATAAACTGAACAATTATAGTTGAAAGAGGGGAAATAAACACATAACTGTTTCTCTTTTCAAGCTAGTCTTGGCAAAATTACTGCCACTATTAATTGCAGATGAAGCAGTTTACTTAGTAATATGAGGGAGTTAAGTCAGAGAGATAATTTGAAAACTGGTGTCATACTTCTTCTTCCCTTAGAGTCAGGCTATTCCTCAGAGATCTTTCTTTTCCTAAACGGATGAGTGTAAGCTTTGTATGTACAAATGATTAACATATTGGTGGAATGCCATAGGTTTACACATATACTTTTTCATTTTAATTCATTTTTATCTTTTTGTGAGGACTCATGTGTTTTAGTAATTTATTTCTAAACAATTTCAAACTTACAGAAAAGTTTCTAGAACAGTAGAGAGATCTGTCAGTGATTCCTCAACTGTTAATATTTTCACCACATTTGCTCCATTATCAGTCTTTTTCTGAACCATTTGAGAGCAGTCTGCAAATGTGATGGCTCATCACTCCTAAATATCTTGTTGTTTATTTCCTAAAAACAAGGACACTCTCTGACATAAACACCATAGAATCCTTCAAGTTAGGAAGTAAACATTGCTAAAATAAAACCATTCAGGGCCGGGCATGGTGGCTCACGCCTGTAATCCCAGCACTTTGGGAGGCCGAGGTAGACGGATCACTTGAGGTCAGGAGTTCAAGACCAGCCTGGCCAACATGGTGAAACCCCATTTCTACTAAAAATACAGAAATTAGCCAGGTGTGGTGGTGGCTGCCTGTAATCCCAGCTACTTGGGAGGCTGAAGCAGGAGAATTGCTTGGACCCAGGAGGCGGAGGTTGGAGTGAGCCGAGATCACACCATTGTACTCCAGCCTGGGTGACAGAGGGAGACTGTGTCTCAAAAACAAACTAACTAACTAACAAAAAACAGACTCAGTCTAGAAACCCTATTTAGATTTTCACCAACTATCCCAATAATAACTTACTTCTGGTCTAGAATGTTGTCCAAGAACACAGTTGCATTTAGTTGTCATGTCACTTCAGTCTATACAAGTTCCTCAGTCCTTCACTGTTGTTAATATCCTTAGCAGTTTTAAAGAATACAGATCTTATATCCTGTAGTATTACCCTCCACCTGGATCTTTCCAGTATTTCCTCATGACCAGATAGATTCAAGTCGTGCTTTCCTGGCAGGAATTCACAAAACTCAGAGGGCACACAATGTCAACCTGTTGTCCTACCAGTGGTGAAGTTAGCCATGATTACCTGATCAAGTTGGTGTCTGTCTGCCCAGTTTCTTCAGTGTGAAGTCATCATTTTACCCTTTGTAACTGATAAATATTTGGTGGAGAGATGTTCTGACAGAATCAAAATACTATCCTCAGACTTTTAGCTTATGTATAGTATGCACTGAGTACAAACTTCTGTTCACCACTTTTTACTTCCATTACTATTCTTGTCTGAAACGGTGATTTTAAAAATAATTTCTCGTACATTAACTCATTTTATTGTAGGAATGAACTGTCTATTCTTCATTAATTTATTTGTATTGGTATAAACTTATGTTACCATCATTATTATTCTAATCCTCAAATTGTCCCAGATTTTAAGTAGTGGGACTCTTAAACTGACTCCTGTATTTTTTGACGTATCCCCATCATTTGAGCACGTCTGTATAATCTGGCAAATAATAAGGCTCATCGTGAACTTAACTGTACCAGCTCTGTAATTAGCCATGTCTCAAGAAGACCCTGGATCTTTCTAATCAAATGTAGTATTTATAAACCAAGATCTGGGCATTCACTGTTTTCATTGCTACTGAAGTGTCATTGCTTTTATTAGAGTCTGTCATCAGAGCTAGGAAATATATGTATGTATTTGTTATAAACACATACACATCTATAATTTTATGTATATATTAAACAACCATGAGTTACAATTCCACTACTACCTGTACTTCCAGTTCCAGTACCAGCACCACAGTTTTCCCTAGTCTTTTCCCTTCTATATTTGTAAGTACCTTCTCCAGCAGTGCCTCTTGTTATACCCTGTATATAATTTGCTCATTGTAAGCAGTTTCTACCATGCCAGTAAAACAACACCAGCCTTCTCTTCTGCTTGCTACCTCTGTGCACCCTGTCTCCCAGCATCCTACCTTCTAATATATTTTACAATAGATTTTGAACACTGTGTTGATTTTTTTAAATGAAAGTTCAGAACATTGAAAATACTTGAACATAAATTTGCCATGAGTTTATATACACCTTAAAATAAATGTTTCCAGATTCTGATTGCGTGATGATGGGTTGCTTTTGTGACAGAAATATTGAAAATGTATTATTTTTACTGTACCACAATCTTCACATTCAGATTTAATTGCAAATCATAACCATCTTTTGCTCATAGAAGGATTGATCATTTGGGGTTTTTTTGTTTGTTTTTTTTGTTGTTGTTGTTGTTTTTTGAGACAAAGTCTCGCTCTGTCACCCAGGCTGGAGTGCAGTGGCACGATCTTGGCTCACTGCAACCTTTGCCTCCCAGGTTCAGGCAACTCTTGTGCCTCAGTCTCCCAGGTAGCTGTGACCACAGGCGCATGCCATCACTCACAGCTGTTTTTGTTTGTTTGTTTGTTTGTTTTTGTATTTTTAGTAGAGGTGGGGTTTTGACATTTTGGCCAGACTGATCTCTAACTCCTGACCTCAAGTGATCCTCAGGTCAAGGCCAGGCATGGTGCCTCAGACATGTAATCCCAGCACTTTGGGAGGCCAAGGTGGGCTCCCAAAGTGCTGGCATTACAGGTGTAAGCCATCGCACTTGGCCTTGACTTTCTGTTTACTCCTAATCACCCAGAAAGCAGTTATTTCTTTTCATTTCATTCATTTCTTCATTCAGTTCATTTCTTCATTTATTCAGCAACACCGACTTTATGGTACTCTATGCCAGGCCCTGTGTGAGATCTGGGAGATACTAATATATACTTAGATTCTGCCATCAGTGAACTCACAGTCTTTTGAGAAAGACAGGCGATAGTTTCAGCATAACTTGATAAATCTCAAGATGGAAGAGCAAGAGAGACATAAAAAGAGGGATCTAAATTAGGCTAGAAGAAATAGCAAGGAGCAGATATAGGGAGGAAGGGTGGCCCAGACAGAGAAATATGCATGTGCTATGTAAAACTGCATAATATATTTAAGAAAAAGCAGGAAATTTGTATGGCTGGAATCAAGGGCATTTTGAGGTAAGATAGATTTTAGTCTAAAGAGATAAGGGCTCATCTTTAAATAAAATTTAGAATGTGTGACCTAGTCTCTATAGGGACCCTGCCTCTGTGATTTTGCCTTCAGAATAATGGCCTCTCTAACATGTTGATCAGTTTCCGTCTCTCACTCAGGTATTCTAGGAAATGGAATTAAGTGACCCTAAACCAGGATTAGCCTGAATAATAAAACAATTTGGTACTCTTAGTCTTAGGATGTTTTGGAGGATAGGAGAATAGGAATGACCTATGATTTTCTTATCACTTAAGGAGGTTGTTTCTGACTTCCTTCTAGACAAACAATTTTCATACCTTATTTTTAATAAATAAAATAGGGGCAGGCACAGTGGCTCACGCCTGTAATCCCAGCACTTTGGGAGGCAATGGAGGGTGGATCACGAGGTCAGGAGTTCGAGATCAGCCTGACCAACATGGTGAAACCCTGTCTCTACTAAAAATACAAAAATTAGCAGGGCGTGGTGGTGCACGCCTGTCATCACAGCTACTCAGGAGGCTGAGGCAGGAGAATTGCTTGAACCCAGAAGGCGGAGGTTGCAATGAGCTGAGATCACGCAGCTGCACTCCAGCCTGGGCAACAGAGCCAGACAATGTCTCAAAAATAAATAAATAAAAATAAACTACCTTTTAATAAATAAGGTACCTTTTTATTTTTAATAAATTCTTACATAAAGAACATTGTTAGTGTTAATGTATGTTTACCATACAGGTATCCTAATGGATGAATGCAACAAATTGAAGGTTGGGTGTTATGGGTAATGGTTTTTATATCAGGCTTAACATCTTGTTTCTGTATTTGTTCTTATGCCAACCTTTGAAAAAACTACAAAGGGTAGTAAACATTGGTTCAGAAGCTCAAAGAAGAGCAGTATGGAAATGTTGGTTTATATTCTTTCTTTTTGAGACAAAGTCTCGCTCTTGTGGCCCAAGCTGGAGTGCAATGGCATGATCTCAGCTCGCTGCAACCTCCACCTCCCAGGTTCAAGGAATTCTCCTGCCTCACCCTCCTGAGTAGCTGGGATTACAGGTGCCCACTACCATGCCCAGCCAATTTTTGTATTTTTAGTAGAGACGGGGTTTCACCAGGTTGGCCAGGCTGGTCTTGAACTCTGGATCTCAGGTTATCCACCTGCCTCTGCCTCCCAAAGTGCTAGGATTACACGCATCAGCCACACTGCTCCTAGCCTGTTTATATTCTTTTATAAGGTTGGAAATAAGCATTTACAACTCTGAATTAATTTCAAAACTGTCTGTAGAACTTCTGGTTCCTCTCAATATGGTGACCTAGCATGGAGAGGAAACTGTATGAGAGGAACTGTAGAAAAGGAAACATTTATTCTGGGAAGTACCAATAATAATAATACAGGCTCTCTTGAACTGGTGTGTTCTTCCTACAGCCTGGTCAGAAAAGATTTTTGAGGTGGATTAAATTTGGAGAAAAGCTTTCTTTTTTCTTTCTTTCTTCCCTTTCATTCCTTCTTTTTTCTTTCTTTCTTTAGTTTAAATTTCACCTCTTTTGTTGCCTTGAGACAGTAAGTGCATGCCCTGGTTGTAGGAGAAGTGGCAGTAACAGCCCACACCAGGGCTAAGTTAGTGAAGTTCAGAGGTCCTGCTATGATGAAATGCCAGTGAAAACAGCTTCAGCTGAGTGAGTGCTGTTGGCTATCTATTTCTCTGCCTTTTCTGTCTCTCAGCCTCTGGATGCTGGTGGATTAAAATTAAGTTTGGATTCCAATTCTCCCAGCACTAAGGATTTAAGGGTGAAACTCTACTGTGATGATTTGTCTAATGAAGTAGCTACAAAGGGGAGTAATCAACAGTAGTTCTTTGGTTCTTGGGTCATTTATTTTCTAATCCTTCCTATCCTTGGATTTTTAGGCAACACCTGAGCGTCTCATAATGCATTTAATAGAAGAACATTCTATCGTGGATCCAACTTATATAGAAGATTTTCTGTTAACTTATAGGACATTTCTTGAAAGTCCTTTGGATGTTGGGATCAAACTATTGGAATGGTTTAAGATCGACAGCTTAAGAGATAAGGTTGGTTTTATAAAGGGAATGAAAGTGATTTTAACCCGAAATTTTTTTCATGAAACTTTTATAGTTGATAGATTACATGTTTATTATGATATTAAGATTCAGCACACCTAAAAAAATTAGTGACCTTGAAAGACATTCTCTGCTTACTTTTATGACAGAATAGCATGTTAAAAGTGGACGAGAGCCTTAAAAGGCAAAAAGTGAAATAAAGCTCTGGTATAGCTATAAGTTCGGGAAACGTAATAGTTACATGAGAGTATTTTAGAATTTTACCGAAATATTTGATTGTTTCCAGAGATCAGTAAAACATTTTAAAACGGATTTAATATTTTAAAAAGAATATTCATCAAATATATTTTTTCAAGAGGGCAGATTGCTTTTAAATTTCAAAATGGGAATATATTTATTTTCTTGAGTTAATTTATAATCATTTGAAAACAATTTATCAAACCTTAATATATCCTGTGACTTATTTAAATCTACCTTTTGAATTTTTTTTGTATTATTGTTCATTATTTTAAATTATCTTCATGGGATATGTTTGTACATTTAATGAAAAGACTAGTGATACCTCCACAAATTGGTAAGAAATAAGTTGTTTCAAGAAAATAAAAGTAGGATCATAATTGCCTGGTGTGTCTTTTTGAATTATATTTTAAAGGAAATAAACTGGTTGCAGGTAGACTGCAGAATTATGTAGGAGACTAACATCTAAAACTACAGGCTTGCACACCTCTCACATTTTTTCTTAGAATTAAATATATTTACTTTAGTTGCCAAAAAAATAAAGGTGTGCTTTGGGAATGAACAAAAATATGATTTAGTAATAATTATCTTTATGCAAAAGAATGAAAATAGATTGTTACCTTATACTGTAAACAAAAATGTACTCAAAATGGATCAGAGACAGAAGAGCTAAAACTATAATGCCTTAAAAGAGAAGATACGGGTAGATTATCATGGCCTTGGATTTGGCGATGGTTTCTCAAATATGAAAACACGACACCCAAGCACAAGCAACAAAAGAAAAAAATAGATAATTGGACCTCATCAAAATTAAAATTATTTTTGCATCAAAGGACACTGTCAAGAAAGATAAGACATTGCACAGAATAAGAGAAAATTATATATCTGATAAAGGTTTAATATCCAAGATATTTTACAACTCAACAACGAAAAGGCAGCACAGTTTAAACATGGACCAAGAACTTGCATAGACATTTCTCCAAAGAAGATATGTAAATGGCCAACAGGCACATGACAAAGATGTTCAATATCTTTTTTTTGTTTGTTTGTTTATGTTATCACTTACCAGAAACAAGTTTCACATATTAATGTAGTCATATCTGTTAGTCTTTCTTTTTGGTTTCTTCTGTGTTTTTTTTTTGTTTGTTTTTTTGTTTTTTTAATACTATTAAGTTCTAGGGTACATGTGCACAACGTGCAGGTTTGTTACATATGTATACATGTGCCATGTTGGTGTGCTGCACCCATTAACTTGTCATTTACATTAGGTATATCTCCTAATGCTATCCCTCCCCACTCCTCCCACCCCAAAACAGGCCCCGGTGTGTGATGTTCCCCTTCCTGTGTCCAAGTGTTCTCATTGTTCAGTTCCCACCAATGAGTGAGAACATGCGGTGTTTGGTTTTCTGTTCTTGCAAGAGTTTGCTGAGAATGATGGTTTCCAGATGCATCCATGTCCCTACAAAGGACATGAACTCATCCTTTTTTATGGCTGCATAGTATTCCATGGTGTATATGTGCCACTTTTTCTTAATCCAGTCTGTCATTGATGGACATTTGGGTTGATTCCAAGTCTTTGCTATTGTATTTAATGCTGCAATAAATATACGTGTGTATGTGTCTTTATAGCAGCATGATTTATAATCCTTTGGGTATATCCCCAGTAATGGGATGGCTGGGTCAAATGGTATTTCTAGTTCTAGATCCTTGAGGAGTCGCCACACTGTCTTCCACAATGGTCGAACTAGTTTACAGTCCCACCAACAGTGTAAAAGTGTTCCTATTTCTCCATATCCTCTCCAGCACCTGTTGTTTCCTGACTTTTTAATGATCGCCATTCTAACTGGTGTGAGATGGTATCTCATTATGGTTTTGATTTGCATTTCTCTATGGCTAGTGATGATGAACATTTTTTCATGTGTCTGTTGGCTGCATAAATGTCTTCTTTTGAGATGTACCTGTTCACATCCTTTGCCCACTTTTTGATGGGGTTGTTTGTTTTTTTCTTGTAAATTTGTTTGAGTTCTTTGTAGGATCTGGATATTAGCCCTTTGTCAGATGAGTAGATTGCAAAAATTTTCTCCCATTCTGTAGGTTGCCTGTTCACTCTGATGGTACTTTTGCTTTGTAGAAGCTCTTTAGTTTAATTAGATCCCATATGTCAATTGTGGCTTTTGTTGCCATTGCTTTTGGTGTTTTAGACATGAAGTCCTTGCCCATGCCTGTGTCCTGAATGGTATTGCCTAGTTTTTCTTCTAGGGTTTTTATGGTTTTAGGTCTAACATTTAAGTCTTGAATCCATCTTGAATCAACATCATTAATCATAGAGAAATGCAGTCATAACCTCAATGAGATACCACTTTACACCCACTAGGATGGCTTTTAAAAAGGGGGAAGAAAGAAAAAGTAACAGACATTGCCTAAGGTATGGAGACATTGAACCCGCCTCCCCACCCCCACCCTACACACATTGATGATAGGAATGTAAAATGGTATTACCTCTGCGGAAAAACAGTTTGAGCAGTTCTTGAAAAAGTTAAACATAGAGTTGCCATATAGCCCAGCAATTCTAATCCTAGGTATATACCCAAAGAATGAAAAACACGTGTGCAAATGAAAACTTGTACATAAATATTTGTAGCAGCACTATTGACAATAGCCAAATGACCCAAATGCCCATCGTGGATCAACAAAATGTGGTATAGCCATACAATAAAATATTATTCAGCCATAAGAAGAAAAGAAGTACCTAATACTTTACTATACCATGATGAACCTTGAAAACATTAAGTTAAGTAAAAGAAGCCAGTCACAAAAGACTAGGTATTGTATGATTCCATTTATGTGGAATAGCCAGGACAGACAAATAGACAGAAAAGCAGACTAGTAGCTGCCAGGGGCTGGAGAGAGGGCAGAATGGTAAGCAAATGCTTAATGAGTTTGAGGTTTTCTTTTGGAGTGATGAAAATGTTCCAGAACTCAGAACTAGACAATGGTGATGGTTACATAATATTGTTAAGGTACTAAATGCCACTGGATTATGAACTTTAAAATCATTAAAATAGTGAATTTTATGTGGATTCTACCACAATTTAAAAAAATACGGCTCATTCCTTACATTGTTAGGCACATTATTCAAATCAGCTTAATTTTTAACTTTTCTTGAGCAAAGTAAACGATTCTGCAGTTTGAAAATTTACAGTGTTTATAATGAAAGAAGTTTCAGATTTTTAAGAGTTTTTGTTTTGTTTTTTAATTTTTATAGAGACAGGGTTTTGCTATGCCCTGGCTGGTCTCAAACTCCTGGACTCAAGGGATCCTCCTTGCTTCAGCCACCTGAGTTGCTGGGATTGCAGGTGTGAGCCACCGCACAAGACTCAGATTTGTTTTTGTTACAATTTTGGTTAAACATGTTCTTGACCATGGAAACGCTTTTGATATGGATTTTTGATTGATAGGATTGCCTGCTTTATGACATGAAGTCTGCATTTTAAGGTGCTACCTGAAATAGATATTCTGTGTACTTCTTTTATCTTAACAAACAGGCTTGTGTCTTCTCACTGAGTGGACAGAATCCTGGCTCTGTTACTTCTGTACACAGGGAAGCAAAAGCTCAAACTAAGCCATGCCTTTCTATTAGAATGAGCCTTTTTTACAAAGGGAGGAATCAAGAGGGTTGTCAGTTCTTCATGAGTTTTAGACATGCTTTTAGAATCTAGTTTTGCAGAAGGAATGCCTCTTATAACCGTATGCTGCCTATTTATGTTTCCACAGGTGACACGGATTGTATTATTATGGGTAAATAATCATTTTAATGATTTTGAAGGTGACCCTGCTATGACTCGATTTCTAGAGGAATTTGAAAAAAATCTGGAGGATACAGTAAGGCTAAAAATAATTTATATTCTTCAGAGTGTCGTGGTTTCCCCACCCCCAACACCAGCAAACTCAGAACAGCAGTAGCTTTCATCTCCTTTGTCTTAAATGTCCATTCTTAGAACTTCCAAATCTATATTTTAGACTTTTGTTCATTTATTCTTTACCACCCTAATTAAAACAATATTTACACTCCTTCCTGACTCTTCCCTTTCTTTTTTTTCTTTTTTTTCTTTTTTGAGACAAGAGTCTCACTCTGTTGCCCAGGCTGGAGTGCAGTGACACAGTCTTGGCTCACTGCAACATCCGCCTTCTGGGTTCAAGCAATTCTCCTGCCTCAGCCTCCTGAGTAGATGGGACTTCAGGTGCATGCCGCCACGCCCAGCTAGTTTTTGTATTTTTAGCAGAGACAGGGTTTCACCATATCGCCCAGGCTGGTCTTGAACTCCTGACCTCGTGATCTGCCCGCCTCAGCCTTCCAGAGTGCTGAGATTACAGGCGTGAGCCACCGCGCCCGGCCCTACTCTTCCATTTCTGTATTAAGACTAATGACATTCTTATCTCTTAGTCACTCAGGCTTATAAACCTGGTGTTATATGTGTACCCTCACTCTCTTGAATTCCCTGGCCAGGATTTCCAGTCAGTTGCTAAAGTCACCTAGGTCACTGATATAGTCATATACCTGTATGTTCACATATTTTCTTATGGTCTCTCTCAGCCATTTCTTTTTTACTGCCTAGTTTAGGGCTTAATTATTTCATTATATCTGATCTGTTATAATAACCTAACCTGCTAACTGATCCTAGTTCTAGTTGCTCTTCTAGTTCATTCTGTGTGGCCAAAAGATTGCTTTTAAAACACACGTGTGATGACTATTATTCTCTTTGTCAGTAAACTATACTTACTACCAAAGCAGTTCCTCCCCCATATATTCAGGTCCCTTGCCTACCTTTTTGCCCTTTTTCCTGTGTACCCTAGATTATAGCCAAATCAAACTATTTTATTTTATTTTCCAGTTCTGCATCCAGACCATGCTAGAATTTTCTTTTCCTCACCTATTGAAACTGTTTCATTTTCCAGTGCATATCCTAAATATCAAATCTATATTAAGACTTTCTACGTTTCTTTTCTACATGGGATTCACCTTTTCTAAATGTACAGCACCTAAGATAATTCCCTCAAAGTCCACAGTAGCTATTCATGAATTCATTTTATTCTCCCTGTCAGATATAAAACTTTGAGCTGTGACTTGGTTACCTGCTCCAAGTAACTTGAAATTTTAGGAAATAAGTAGTAATGTAGCATAGTGTTTTAGGAGTACAGTTCAAGCTCCTCCATTTGCTAGAGTTGTAAACTCAGACAGATTGCCTGATCTTATGCCTGAGTTGTGTTATTTGTAAAGATAGTAGTTCCTAGTTCATTGAGATTGTTATAAGGATTATAATGAGCTGATAAGCATAACAGTCTGTACACAAAACCTGTCACTTAGCAAATGCTCAAGAGCTGTAATTATTAGTTACAGAGCATAAGTGGATTGAGTTGAATGAAGTGGGAAAAATTGACAAATCTGGTCCCTTTCGTTACTCCATGGTTCCTGTTGACTTCTCAGCAGCACATGTGCTCTATATAAAATGGGGAGAGTGAACAACACTGGGAACTTGATTAAGGGTTATAGAGGCACTCTACTATCATTTGACTCATCCTGTGTTGGTTGTGTAAATATTCAAGGGACATCAGAGTGTGGAAAAAAAAGTTATGAGATTTTTTTTCCACTAGTCAGTTAGCCATCAGGTATTCATTGCATTCTACTTTATACTCAAAGGCATTAATGTAGGATCAGAACAAATATTAAGACTTGGTGACTGCTTTAAAAAAAATACAACTTTAGCTTTTTGTGATTGACATGAGATTTGCACATATTAATACTATTTGAGACAATTGAAACTGGAATTAGAACTGGAAGTCAGACTATTACTGAGTTTAAGGAAGAGCTAAAATAATACAAGAAGAAAGTCTTTTCTGGACGAGGTGAAAACTTGAATGTTTCTTTGAACAGTATTTGAAAAGGTGGTTCAAGTCATTCAAGGTTTTGAATAAAGGTTTTAAAGATTCTGGTTTTATATAACAGCCAGGAGATAAGCAAGGTGGGGGAAGAGTGTGTATTAGGAAAAGTTTAAGAAATGATAAGTAATTTTTTGTCATCTCTCTGTAATTGAGACATCGCTTAGAAATCTTTTTTAACCTATGATAATTTAAAGGTCTTATAATGATATTAAGAAATCTCATTGAGAGTGCTTTGGAGTGGGAGTGCCCCCTTCTTCAGTTTTGTTTACCTCAGCTTATACGTGTATATTTATAACTCTAATTCTAATAATTTTAGGTGACTTTTTAAAAACCTGTAGGAATAGATACATTTATATACATTTACCCTTTTCTGCTTTACAGAAGATGAATGGTCATCTCCGGTTATTGAATATTGCCTGTGCTGCAAAGGCTAAGTGGAGACAGGTTGTGCTGCAGAAGGCTTCCCGTGAGTCCCCTCTACAATTCAGCCTTAATGGAGGAAGTGAGAAGGGATTTGGTATTTTTGTTGAAGGAGTAGAACCTGGTAGCAGAGCTGCTGATTCAGGACTGAAACGTGGTGATCAGGTAAGCAGATAACCAACCACTTATATTCAAGCCTTCTTAAAAGTATTGTGCCTGCTGCTTTTGTTCTCATCTTCCAGAAAGCGTGATCAGTTTAAGGAAATATTTTTCTGAGCCTTTTTTTAGAGGTAGTATCTGCATATGGTTTATTTTTAAAATGTATTTGTCATATATTTATTACTTTTAATGGAAAATTTGGTGTAGTGTGACCAGAAATAACATGGTCTACTGAGCTCTATCAATATGACCTCCTTTGAATGGGCCTGCCTGTCCTTCATGGATTAGGGAACTGTATAAGCTGGCAACTTGAGAATACTCCAGAACGATCAATATATGAATTAGCACCCTTGCAAGTTTTGAAGGAGACAGCACTTCTACCTCATAGCACTCTCAAATGTAAGTGGCTGCAGATTACTGAAGGTTATGGTAATCATTAAATTATGTTCATATGGTAACATAACTATATCCATAAGCAAAGTGAGCCAAATGGGGGACTAGGAAAAAAGACACTCTTAGGAATTTGATGGTGATTTATTCTTTTAGTGTAGGCATTAGGAAAGTATAGAGCAGCCTATTCGAAATGTGACCTGCTGGCAACTTTGTTACATAAAAAATGCAATTCCCAGTCTTCTCTCAATCCTGTTAATTATATTGACCACATTCTTAAGCAATGATGTCTGAACATCTGTATTTTTAACAAAACTCTCTAGATCAGTGGTCCCCAACCTTTTTGGCACCAGGAACCAGTTTTGTGGAAGACAGTTTTTCCACGGACCAGGGAGTTGGAGCTGGGGGGATGGAGATGGTTTTTGGATGAAACTGATCCACCTCAGGTCATCAGGCAGTCAGACGTTAAATTTTCATAAGGAGTGTCCTAGATCCCTTGCATTTGCAGTTCTCATCAGGGTTCACACTCCTATGAGAATCTAATGTCACTGCTGATTTAACAGGAGGTGGAGCTCAGGCGGTAATGCTCACTGGCCCACTGCTCACCTCCTGCTGTGTGGCCCAGTTCCTAAAAGGCCATGGGTTTGTGTCCTGGCGGTTGGGGACCTCTGCGCTAGATGATTCTCATGTACTTCAAAGGGTGATCTCCCAAATCTGCCTGATCATCAGAATCATTTAGGAAACTTGCTTTTTCCCCATTTAAAATTTTGTTCTTTCATTTTAGAATGTGGCTTTATTTTAACTGAGCCATGCTATAATTTTTTTTAAATTATGAGCTCATTCATATTATGAAAGGTTCTACACTCTAGAACAGTGCTTCTCAACTAGTGGCAATGTCTGCAGATATTTTTTATTATTATGACTTGGGGATTACTACTGGCATGTTGGTGGACAGAGGCTGAGGATGTTGCTGAACAGCATACAATTCCCAGGACAGCTTCCACAGTAGAGTTTTCTGGGCCTTACCCCAGACTACTCATTAGGAATGTCTAACAGCTAGGATCCTGGAGTCAGTATGTTTATTGTTCAGTTATTTGTATCACAGACACATTTAATCTAATTCTTCACACACACACACACGTGCGCGCACTAGTAAAATCATCCCTGAGAATGAAATTTATCATGCTTTTACTTCTTCCTTCAATCTTCACAACTACCGCTGAAATGATCTGAGATTTTAGATCTACATTATTATTGTTATTTTTTAACATTTTGTATCTTCTGTTTCAAGAAGGCTTTTGACATTTGCATTAAGTTTCATAAGCTTTTAAACAAGCATTTAGAAATTTACACTTGTTTAACTGATTTCATTGATCACTTCCATTTCATTTGCACTGTATATCCCCATTTCAATTCATTTCAGTTATCTTTGGTACTTCTTTTAGTACTTTTTTAAGGAACAGATGGGTGATATAGTATTATATGTTCTTGCCTTCCTGAAGATACTTGTGTTCAATGGAGTATAACATCTTTTTCCAACAGTGACTTTTCCCTCAGAACACTAAAGTCACAGAAAGTTATCACATCAACTTAACGTTGCCCAAGAGAAGTCCAAACTCTTTGCAAGAGTTTTTTGTAGGTACCTTTGGGTTATCTTCCCACAATGATGTTTATAGATACTTTATTCTTTCTCCTTGGAACACAGAAATTTCATTGGGATATGTTTTTAAAAATAGATGTCTTTTTATTATTTTTGCATGGTACTAGATAAGACATTTTAGTGCATAGATGCAAGTCTTTTTTCAACTCTGGGAATTTAACTTCTATGGAATTTTTTTTTCCTTTCCCTAATATTTTTTTCACTCTTTTTCTTATTCTTTTGAAATTTTTATGTTGATCCCCTAGATCCACCCTCTGTTCTGACTAGTTTTTGACTAGTTTTTGCTAAATTTTTTTATCCTTTTCCCTTAGAATCAGTACTTCTTAAAATAAACTGCTTCTGTGATTCTGAGGTACAGCCAAATTGGGGAAGCCCTGTTGTGAAGGGTCAGCAGTGTTTACCTGGAAGAAGAACCCATTTCAGTTGTGCTTCTTGCTATTTGGCTGCCTGATTCAATCAGTGGCAGAAAATCATATTAAATATATTTAGAGTACTCCTTTTAAAAGATTACCTCTCTTTGAAATGCAATAAATTTACATTGAGAATATTTGACAAATTTGTATATACATTTGCAGGCAATAATTTTTATGAGCTGATCTGCCATGATTAATTTTTTTCCTTCATAAACCATCTGGTGTGGGTATTTTTAAAATTTCCTCAGTGTGATCCCAGAGGGCATTAATTTTAAAAAATGTTTATAGTAAAGAATTTGGAAAATAAAACAATGTAGAGAAAAAGAAATACAGTAGTCCAAATTCTCACAGAGATAACTGTTGTTCACATAGGAGTACATTTTATTCAAGTTTCATTTTATTTATTCACTAACAAACTTTTAAGGTTGTAGGAGTAACTAATACTGTTCTGTACTAATTGGTATTTTTTAAATACTTTTGAGATTATGGAAGTAAACGGACAAAACTTTGAGAATATTACATTTATGAAAGCCCTTGAAATTTTGAGGAATAATACTCATCTTGCACTTACTGTGAAGACCAACATTTTTGGTGAGTTTTGTTGTAAAAATTGCCTGAACTCTTTCTTCTTAATTTGGTAATAGAAAAGTCATTACAGTGGAAAAAAAGATAGTAAAGTGTATACATGTTTTTGTCTAAGCTCTTAATCTAGTTTCAGAATCTTTTGTGTTGAACTGTTGTGTATTCTAGAATTTTCATTTTTCATTATGTTTTCAATTATTTTGATAAAAAGTAAGTTTTAAAATAGGTGTATAGCTACAGTTAGTCATTTATGAAATTCCTACTGAGCATATATTATATACTCTGCTGGAGGGATACTGAATGAAACGTAGAATAACCTGAATAAAACTAAGGAGTTATAAGCAGGCATGTTTTCCCCCAGCTAGTGTGCAAATCAGTCTACTTCTAATCTTTAAGCTAGCTTTCTGAAGTAATATGAATGCCAGATTAGCTGTTTTATGGAAATAAACTGAGTAAAGCATTGACTTGAGTACTCAGTAAATTACAGATTTCTAATAAAAGCATATTCTACCTTTGTGTGGAAAAATGATTACAGTGCCTCTGTTGTGTTTTTATCATGTTTATATTTAAATCAGTGACTAAGCTCATACTTTTAACCAAATCTACTGTTTGTTTTTGTAAACGTGTAGGAAAGATATACTGTCATTTGATTGCCTTAGACACTTTAGGATTTTTGCAGAAATTCTGAAAAGAGTAACAGTAAAATCATATAGCAATTGAAATATCAAAGAAAATTTAAGAGTCCTTATGAAGTAGGGAGGAAAACAATCTCTCTAGGTTGTTTAGGTTACAATTCGAGAAGTAAGAGTTGGCTTTAAAAGCTATGCCTATGGAAAGAAAGTGTGAGTTTTATTTTTTTCACTTTGGCTTTTTTGTATTGTGCTTAGTCATAATGAAAAATGAAACATGGGTTTTTTCCTCTTTTTGAGTCCCTTTGACTGAATTACATCATGTTAAATCTGGTATGTAACTGTCAATTGGCAATTTAGTATTATGTTACTTTAGCATAGAATAAGTAAGTAAGCCCTCAGAATTTTTTGATTTCCTGGAGTTTGTACTAGTATCTAGAAATGCCAACTTTTAGGTTAAACGAAAGAGATTTCCAGTTTCGAAAAATATGAAAGCAGGACTTGCTCTCTTTGAGCAAATTATTTAGTCTTTCCAAGCTTCAATTTCTCTAGCACTATTTCCTAGGTTTCTTCTAAGCATCTAATACCTTTAAACCTTTTGTACCAGTCACATAAAGATTACTAACTGGTATTAAATACTCTGAATAAAAATAATAAAAATACAGAGATAGTGTGAACCCCCATGAACTCTGGGATACAGAAAAAGTAGATCTGAAGGATGCAAAAGACAGAAGTCATACCCTCAGAACCCTTTGAGTAGCGGGAAAGCAGTTGGTCAACAGAACCCTAGGTTGGATATGGCAGAGGATAGAAGTTACATGGTGCCACAAAGGGGGAACATAGCAGTCAGCTCTTTCTTCCTTACCCTAGGTGGAAAGCAAAACACCAAGGAGAAAGCTAAACACCTCATGTTTAGATTTAGCAAATGCACCCAGAGAAGAAAACAGCTGGCAATCTCAGTTTACTCTCTTTCTATTCTGGAATTTTAATTTATCTATTAAATTACAACAGAATACTTGTAAAATATTTGTAGAAATGGAGCATTTTACTCTAGATGTGGGGATGCCCATAATAAATCCCTAATAACTCTGGCATTCCATGAAATAGAGTTGAGCAGTTAGGTCATCCTGTATCAAACTTGCAGTCTGGAGAGCTACAAAAAGCAAAGCTGTGACCAGAAGACATTTGTTCAGTGATACTGAGAGGTGAAGCCAGCTAGACTTCCTGGGTCAAGTGGGGACTTGAAGAACTTTGCTGTCTAGCTACAGATTGCAAATGCACCAATCAGCACTCTGTAAAAATGCACCAGTCAGTGCTCTGTGTCTAGCTAAAGGGTTGTAAATGCACAATCAGCACTCTGTAAAAATGCACCAATCGGTGCTTTGTGTCTAGCTAAAGGGTTGTAAATGCACAATCAGCACTCTGTAAAAATGCACCAATCGGTGCTTTGTGTCTAGCTAAAGGATTGTAAATGCACCTGTCAGCACTCTGTAAAATGGACCAATCGGCACTCTGTAAAATGGACCAATCAGCAGGATGTAGGCAGGGTCAAATAAGGGAATAAAAGCTGGCCACCCCAGCCTGCAGGGCCAACCTGCGGGTCCTCTTCCATGTTGTGGAAGCTTTGTTCTTTTGCTCTTCACAATAAATCTTGCTGCTGCTCACTCTTTGGGTCTGCACCACCTTTAAGAGCTATAACACTGGCCACAAAGGTCCACGGCTTCATTCTTGAAGTCAGCAAGACCACGAACCCACCAGAAGGAAGAAACTCTGGACACATCTGAAGGAACAAACTTCAGACACACCATCTTTAAGAGCTGTAACAGTCACCATGAAGGTCCCCGACTTCATTCTTGGAAGTCAGCGAACCAAGAACCCACCGGAAGGAACCAACTCCAGACACGATACCAGAGCAAACCATTCTCGGTCCTTTTATATTACTTAAAACTGACGTTCAGGGATCACCAAGCATAAGGAGAATCAGGATCATTGAGAGGGTGTGGTAGAGACCTAATGAGTGATCTTACACATTCTGGAGAAATATTTAAAGAAGAGAAGAAAAACATTTCTAGAACGCTGCACAGAGCAATTTAAAAATTTATCCCTTGAGAGGGAGAACTTGCAGTGAGCTGAGATTGCACCACTGCACTCCAGCCTGGAGGACAGAGCGAGAGTCCGTCTCAAAAAAAAAATTATCCGTTGAAACAAGAACAGGATATTAGGAAAGAATAAACAACAATCATTGAGAAAGAAATAACTTACAGACAAAAACATTCATTTGAAAGAATAGATAATAAAGTTGAGAAAAATCTCCCAGACTGTGGAACAAAAAGACAAAGTAAAATTAAGCTCTATTCCAGGATATCCAAAAGAAAATGTGAGGAAGAAGATATGTAGGAAATAATAGCGGAGAATATCCCAGAGTAAAAGAAAGGTGTGACTCATATTTCAAAGGCCTTACTATGAGCTGAGGAAAATGTGTTAAACAAAACTTGTGTCAACTTTCTACTTCCAGTATTGACTGAAGACAACTTAAAAGAGCTAGACTAAATATGAAAAACTATAAACAACAATCCAAAAAGATAGTGAAAAAGTCTGGATGTGTCAAAGCCTTTTCCCACTCCTGGGACCGTATCCCAAAGTGACGTCTTTTTTTCCAGGGCCATTTTCCCATCCATAGAATACAACTGAGAGGAACTCCTTGATAAACTTACAGGTTTGTAGTTCAGTGCCCAAAACTATAGCATTACAACCTTCGTTAGGATTGAGACTTTGAAAAGCTCTGTCTGAAGTGGATGTGGGCTGTACCTAACTGACCATCTAGGTGACCCAGGAAAACTTACAGTTTTGGCCCTGGATTTAGATTACAGGTGCCTGACAAAAGAAAATAAATATCTTTTTTAGTGGATACTAACAGCAACTTGTTATTTCTAAAAATAGTTTTTTTAAAAACAGAGTCAAGCAAAGATTATGAGGTACTCTTAAAAGTCAGTATGAGCCAGAACCAACAGAAACAGAAGCACAGGTGCTTCAGAATATCAGACACAGATTGTAAGTTTGCTATCTTATGTCCATGAAGATAAAAATCAAATTAAGTATTCCATTTCCAGATAAGATGGAGTAAACACAAACCATCCTTCATCTCCCACTGAGCTTAGTAGTAAACCTGGACAGAATCGTGACCCACTTATTTGAGAACTCTGAACAGCAAATAGCAACAGGCAATTCACAAAAGAATACTGTAATTCAAAGTACCGCCACCAGCAATGAATTCACTATTATTTTAGTTCTAGTATGCCCTAGGTTGGACTCAAGGCAACCTGAAACCTGGATGTGACTACTGTGGTACAGTACTCAGGAGAGGCCTGGCTTAAGGAGTGAGAAAAGGGAACTCCTACTAATAGCAGTTGTCCTGTCGAGAAAAGTGACACTGCTTTTAGGCTTCATTGTATTCTAGTTCCATGCAAGCGCTCACAGCCATCTGAAGTTCTCTTTCTCCTCGAAGAGTTCCTCTACCTGACCCACACCTCATGTTTAGATTAAGCAAATACACCCAGAGAAGAAAACAACTGGCAATCTGTTTACTCTCTTCCTATTCTGGAATTTTAATTAATCTATTCCTCTTGGCTTCCTCAGCTTTCTAATATCTTTAAAAATCCCACTTCTAGGCCGGGTGCGGTGGCTCATGCCTGTAATCCCAGCACTTTGGGAGGCCAAGGCGGGCGGATCACAAGGTCAGGAGATCGAGACCATCCTGGCTAACACGCTGAAACCCCGTCTCTACTAAAAAATACAAAAAATTAGCCGGGCGTGGTGGTGGGCGCCTGTAGTACCAGCTACTCAGGAGGCTGAGGCAGGAGAATGATGTGAACCCGGGAGGTGGAGCTTGCAGTGAGCCAAGATCACGCCACTGCACTCCAGCCTGGTGACAGAGTGAGACTCTGTCTCAAAAAATAATAATAAAATAAAAATCCCACTTCTAGCCAAGCATGGTGGCTCATGCCTATAATTCTAGCACTTTAGGAGGCTGAGGCGGGAGGATCGCTTGAGGCTAGGAGTTCCAAGACCAGCCTGGGCAACATAGTGAGACCTGGTCTCTGCACAACACTAAAATTTAGCTGGGCATGGTAGCGTGCACCTGTAGTCCCAGCTACTTGGGAGGCTGAGGCAGGAAGATCACTTGAGCCCAGGAATTCAAGACTATAATGAGCTGTGATTGTGTCCCTGCATTCCAGCCTGGGCAACAGAGTAAGACTGTCTCTAAATCCCAAAATCCCATTTCTCAGATAACTTGTCTTTTTGAGTTTTAATAAAAGTAATACGTGCATATATTTTGAAAACTAAAATACTAAAAATAGATATACAGTGGAACCATACTGT